CCTCCACAACCACCGTCCTCGCCGCCACCCTCGCCGCCGCCACCCTCGCCCCAGCCGCCCCCGCCGCCACCACCCTCGCCGCCACCACCGTCGATGCCTCCGCCCTCGCCGCCGCCATCGACGCCGCCTCCGCCCTCGCCGCCCCCGCCGTCGCCGCCGCCCTCGCCGCCACCATCCTCGCTCCCGCCGCCCCCTTCGCCACCACCGCCGCCAGTCCAGTGCAGACCGTTTTGCGCCGGCAAGACGGACACCTGGCAGGAGCGGTGCGCCTGGCCCGGCTGCGGGGCGTGCAGCGAGTGTTCTGCCGCCGCTCCGGCCCGGTGCAAGCCCTTCTGCGCCGGCCAGACATACAGCTGGCCAGCAAAGTGCAAATGGAACGGATGCGACGAGTGCACCGAGTGCTCTACGTCTCCTCAGCCGGTCACCGAGTGCAGACCGTTCTGCTCTCGCAGACCGGAGAGTTGGAGAGGAAAGTGCCAGTGGAACGGTTGTGGGGCATGCACAGATTGCTCCTCGGAGCCGCCAGTCCAGTGCAGACCGTTTTGCGCCGGCAAGACGGACACCTGGCAGGAGCGGTGCGCCTGGCCCGGCTGCGGGGCGTGCAGCGAGTGTTCTGCCGCCGCTCCGGCCCGGTGCAAGCCCTTCTGCGCCGGCCAGACATACAGCTGGCCAGCAAAGTGCAAATGGAACGGATGCGACGAGTGCACCGAGTGTACGTAGCCGGGGACGGTAGTGAAGATTTGATTTGAGAATTTTACAACAAAGCTCCATCGCACAACCGCTGGGCACGGGACTGGCTCGCACTGGCACTTGATTTGAAGCATCGATGTCAGATCATGTCTCTCAAAATACGGGGCTGTGGGAGTCCCAGTTCACCACACAAAGATAAAACTGTGTGCCCCCTCCCGCCCGCGCGGGGGGACCTTCGGTGTTCGGAGAGACGCGCGAGCAGAGTCCAGAGAGACGCGCAGTTTATTTGCTTTTTGGAGATATTGCTATATTGGTTATTTTGCTGATTATGCATTATCGTCACCGCGACTCACACAAAATACGCCATCGCGAGTGAAGTGGATCACTGTACATCGATACTTTGCGCGCCCACCGCTCCAAGCGGCGCGCGACAAGGCAATCAGCCGATGGCGCATCCATCCAACCCCCCGCCCCAAGGTTAAGTAAGGTTTAGTCATCCCATTCCGTAGGCTTGCGCAACGCGCGCGAGACGCCCGCCCTGAGCCGGTCGTCCTCCTCGCGCTCCTGCTTGAGCTCAAGGATCTCGTCCACCCCCACCCGCTCCAGCAGCCCCTCTGTCGTCTCGCGCTCCTTGTCGTCGTCCTGCGGCGGCCGGCGAGGGAGCGTGTCTAGGAAGAGCGTGGCAGGCGCTGACGCGTCGGCGGTCGTGGCGCACGCGCTCGCGCTGGCTGCGCGCGCGCGGCGTGTTGAGGGGGCGGGCGCGCGCACAATCTGCCCCAGCAGCACGACGTTCTCGCCGCGGATGACGTACAGCCCCAGCGGCACATCTGCAAACCGCTTGCCGACGATGACACGCTCGAGCGCGTGCTCCAGAACGACGTTCGAGAACTGGTCAAAGGTGCGCAACGTGCCGATGATCTTGCGGCCGTCCCGCAGCACCACCATCAGCTTCTCTGCGCGCCGACGGGGGGCGGGCGCTCTCAGCGGCGGCAGCAGGCGGCCGGCTGGCGCGGTGGCGGGCGGGAGGCGCACTGTCGAGCTCTTCGGCTAGGCTGGCTGTCCCGGTGAGGTTGAGCGCCATCACGTCGACATTGGCACCCGAGCTAGGCATCGGGTGTCGGCAACGAGGCGAGGCCGGAGTCGGGGTGTTAGAAGCGCTCTGCACCGCACTTGCAGGCGAACAAGAAAACATCCGCGAGGTAAGTCGGGTCTCCTGTGCAGTGCATGTGCAGATTGCGTGCACTCACGGCTCTCACACAAAAACATCTCTCTTGGCTGTCTCTGGCTCCCTCACTAATTTCTGCCCTCCCTCGCAGGCACTGCTGCACGCCGTGAGCTCGGGTGGAGTTTGCCGCATTTTCTTTTTTCTTCTTCACTTCGAGGGAGTTTCCTGGTCACATCTCTCGAGCCGAGCCGATGCACGCTATGCTCGCTGCTCTCGCCACCTCTGCCGCTTCCTTCGCCCCGCCCACCGAGCCTTTCGACCGGCGAGTCTTCGACCGGCGAGCCTTCATCGGCGGCGCCGCGCTCGCCGCCGCTAGCCTAACGGCACCGGCACAGGCTCAGCGCTCGAAGCTCATCCCGCGGTCGAGCGCCGAGTCTACCGCTTCGTTCAAGCAATACCAGCTGTCAGAGGCCAAGTACAAGCCCGGTGAAGAGAGCGAGGCATTCAAGAAAGCTGAGGCCGCGCGCAACGGCGGCGCGGCAGGAAAGCCGTCCTCGGCGCAAGACGACCTAGCGAGGCTGGGGCTCAAGTCATTCTCGGACTCGAACACGGACATGTGCCAGACGTGGAAGGGCTGCAACGGCAGGTGAGACGCCTCCTGCGCGCGGCCTCCCGCCTGTGCTCTTGCGTGCCCGGCACAGGTTCGAGGAACGTCCTGTTTTTTTCGTATCGTTTTCAGTTGTGTGTCTATAGTAATACTATAGTGTCTTTTTCCATCTTTGACTTTGTGACTGGAGAGAGAATTTTTCGCACCAAACAGTACTGTGATGTGGGTGCGTCAGCACACCACTGAGTTACACTGCATCTCTGGTTGCAAAAGCGATGACTGATGTACACTACACTTAGACTCGGCGCCTACCCTCTCGCCCCGCTCCCTCGCACCCGCTCACACGACACAGCGCACTGTGCGTCTCTCTCTCCTAGTCTACTTCGTGTTTGGCGTCTGTGCGCCAGCAACGTGGCCGATGATCGGCCGCACCTCACCCACACGCACCTTCCCTGCCCCTCACCCCATGGTCCTTGGGCGGCCGTTCGCCCCCGGGGAGTGAGGCCAGGGATCATCATCTAAAGTGTGCAGCTTCGCCATCCATCGCCGCGGCATCCAACAGGAAGCAAACCACGGATTTCGCCCGGCGTCCGCACGCACAGCCACCGCCCGCACCAGCGCCGGAGGCAGCAGCGCCCGACTCGGCCAGGCAAACCGGCGCAAGGCTCACCAGCCGTAGCCCCAGCCGCCGTAGCCGCCGTAGCCGCCGTAGCCGCCGTAGCCGCCGTAGCCGCCGTAGCCGCCGTAGCCGCCGTAGCCGCCGTAGCCGCCCATGCCGCGCCAATACGCGTTCTGCCGGCCCATCATGCCGCGGCCGTACCTAGAGCGAAGCGACGCACACGCTCAAAGCCCCGTCGCGCGGGCACCTCCTCGCCAACGCCGCCTCACCCGCCATAGCCCCACCCTCCTCCGTATCCTGCGGGGCAGCAGCACCGGGCGTGAGAGCGGTCTGTGGAGGGCGAGCGGGGCCTGTGTGCGCGCACCGCCGTACCCGCCGTACCCGCCGCCATACCCCCACCCGCCGTACGGCATGTACCCCGACCCGCGGCGGTAGCCCATGTAGCCTGCGGACAGGGCGGCGGCGCGTGAGGCGATTGCGGCGGCAATCGGCGGGCGGGCGGGGACTGAAGCGCACCGCCGTATCCGCCCATCCCGTACATGCCATACCCGCCCCATCCGCCGTACGGGTACCCGCCGCCGTAGCCCCAGCCGCCTGAAGTTCAGCGGCGGGCGGTGAGCGGTGCGGCCGAGTGCAAACGGCGGGGGGGGTCGGAAGGAATGAGCATGACCGTATCCGTACCCGCCTCCGCCGTATCCGTACCCGCCGCGCCAGGGCCCGTACCCGCCGAAGCCACCGTAGAGCTCAGCCTCGCTTGTCATCGGGTTCCAGTATGCCCGCTGCTGGCTCTCGTAGACCATCGCCCTTGCGGGCGTCATCGGCCCCGCCTGCATGACCTGCATGGCGGGTAGGGGGGTGAAGATGGAGGTGATGGAGACAGGGGAGGCGGGGACGATGGAGGTGAAGGTGGGTGCGATGGTGGAGGCGGTGAGGGTGAGTGCGACGGTGGGGGAGGTTGTGGAGGTGGTGGAGGGGAGGGTGGATTCTTTGGCGGCGGGGGCAGGGTCGATTCTTTGGCGGCGGAGGCGGGGTGAGGGTGAATGCGACGGTGGGAATATCGTGGAGGTGAGGGTGGTTGAGGGGGTTACGATGGTGGAGGTGGTGAGGGTGAGTGCGACGGTGGGGGAGGTTGTGGAGGTGGTGGAGGGGAGGGTGGATTCTTTGGCGGCGGGGGCAGGGTCGATTCTTTGGCGGCGGAGGCGGCGGGGTGAGGGTGAATGCGACGGTGGGAGTGGTCGTGGAGGTGAGGGTGGTTGAGGGTGGTTACGATGGTGGAGGTGGTGAGGGTGAGTGCGACGGCGGGGGTCAGTGAGGGTGGTAGGGGGTGGGGAAGGTGGTGAGGGTGGGAAGGATGGTGGTGGAGTTGGAGCGGAGCGCCTCCAGGCAGATAGGGTGGTAAAGAGGGGGGTGAAGGAGAGAGAGGAGGCGGTGAAGGCGGAGGTGAGGGAGGATGCGATGGTAAAGGCGGTGAGGGGGGCGAGATTGATGGTGACCTGCATGGCTGGCGCCGCGGCCCGCTTGATCGTCGCCGGCGACGCCGACGGCGACGCGGCCAGCTTGGCCGGCCCCGCGAGGAGGGCAGGGCGGCTCAGGAGCGAGAGGATCAGGGCGGCCGCCATTTGCTTTGGACGATCCGCTCTGCGATTCCCACTCTCTCTGAGCGGCGCAGATTCCCTGAATTGGGTCGATGGGCAGCCGATTCCCGTCGCAGCTTCGTTTTCTTTTACAGTGTACCAGCCAACAAGAAGGTGTCCATTTTAGAGACCTGAAAGGAAAGGGATGAGGAGAAGAGGGCCACGGCACGCGCCTCGGCGGCAGAGATAGGCGCCGGCGGCTGGCTCGCGTCGTCGGCGACGCGCGAGCGCGGCGAAGCCGAGCGAGGCGATCGATCGCGGTCACGCGTCACGGCGAGCCCCAACCTGCAGGGGCGTCCTCCTCCAGCCTCAGGGGATAAATCTCGAGAAATCTTGACGAATCTCGAGAATCCCTGGGCTCCGAGAGGCCAAGCTGTATTTAGAGAGAGATTTTTGAAAACCAACAAGAAATCACGCCCCCACAGTGTCAGTGATTAACACGGCATACTAGCGCTCGAACCGGAGGCGTCGCCGACCGATTCGCGAGCTCCGCCCCGATGACAGTGACGCCACGTCTCCTAGCCGCATCGCGCCAATCGTCGTCCATATCAGCAAAGGCCTCCTCAGCGTGACTCTCGCAGAGCAAGGCGCCTGGTCGAGCAACTGTGCAGCAGCCACCGTGGCAGCAAACCGCATCGGCGTCATCGCCGCTGCTGGCATCGACGAAGGAGCAGCTGTGTGGCACGGGCCCAGCGGACTGCCGATCGAGCTCCTCGAGGCACGCGACAGTCGAGGTCGCTCTCTGTGCAGCGTTTGCTGCGGTAGCTAGCGACGCGTCCTGCAGCCGAGCAGCGGCCTCTGGCGGCAGTGGCACGGCTAGGCTGGAAGCACTGAGGGACGGCCGATGTTCGCCCAGTGGCAACCCTGATCTTAGAATCGCTCTATTGACAAAAGGGACAGCGACAGGTTCGCAGCACGGTGGACTCCCTATTCCACTGGCGATCTCTCTCGACTAGCGACCTTCCTCCGGCTTCTCACTGGCAGTCTCTCACTATCACGGGCACACTGACAGAGGCGGCCAAGGCTCACGCCGTGGGTGGCAGAGGCGGTGATTGATAGGAGTCTCCCACTCTGTGGGCTTCGCTAATGGTGCGGCCTACGCGTGTCCTCGCCCTTGCGGTCTTGAGAGGGAAGGGGAAGGGGCTGTGTGTCTGTGTATGTGTGTGTGTGCATGTGTGTGTGTGTGTGTGTGTGTGTGTGTGTGTGTGTGTGTGTGTGTGTGTGTGTGTGTGTGTGTGCGTGTGTGTGTGTGTGTGTGTGTGTGTGTGTGTGTGTGTGTGTGTGCAGGCGCTGTGGCATGTTGTGCGAGTATATGGGACAAAAGCGTCGAAAATGTCCCAAAAAGCGTGTCTCGAGTTTGTTGCAGCTCCGCAGCCTGCGCGCGCTGCCGGGACGCACCGCTTGCTGGATACACGCACTCCCTGGGTCCCAGGGAGTGCGTGTATCCAACAGGAGTGAGTAGGCTCGACGCCGTGCTCGAGATGGAGCTGCAGAAAGTACGCCGCCGAGCGTGCCACCGACGGCGTCCCGGCGGCGGTGATGGAGTGTGAGACCTGAGGCTGCGGAGGTGACGCCTGAGGTACCGGCCCGTGCACAGCGACTCAGCCGGCGACCGCCACGGGCTCAGACGAGACTTGTCGACTCGTTCCGGCTCAGCTTCACCGTGGTCATCGGGCGTCTGTCGACGTCAGGACCACCCATACAGCTCGCGGGTTTGAGGTCGCAAGAGCCAAGATGGTGGCGTTTGGACATCCCAACCATCACACAAGACAGCCTGTAGGTGATGGCGGGACGGCGCAGTGTTTGTGGCACTCAGCAGTAGGCACCCGCGGCACGGCCCCGCTGTCGGCTCTCGCGGGCTGCGGAACCGGCCCCAGAGGGAGCCGGTCCGGGCGAGTGTGGCAGCTCCTGCGCTAGTATGGGCACCCTCTATCATAGCACTACTGATCCTGGTCATTAGAGCTGCCAGGGATAGCGTCAAGAGCCGGTAGGAGTCAAAACCTCTCATATTTGAGACATCGTGTCCCATATACTCGCACAACGAGCCCTGTGCAAGCCGCCCTGAACGACCACATGGTGAGCGCGCCCGAGCACCGAAGCGCCGCGAGCGCCGACGAGCACTGCCGCCCCGCGCCTTGGCGTGGAGCGGTAGTAGATGATGCGGCGCCCAGCATGCTCTATCATGCGTCGCCCCGCAGTGGCCTAGCCGACCGCCGTTCGACCTGGCGCCGAGTGGCTCCCAGATCGAGCGCGGCAGGCTCAGTCGCACCCTCGCGGAGCGAACGCGAACCGAGCCGTCGCCGTTCGCCGCAGCCGTCAGCCGTCAGCCGGCAGCAGCCGGCCGCCGGCAGCCGGGTGCCGGCGGCCGGGAGCCGGCAGCCGGCAGTCGCCGTCGCTGCCGCCGCCGCAGCAGCAGCGAGCGAGCTCCTGCGTCGCGTTTTGCCGACGCAGTGTGGACGCGCGCCGCCCAGCGGCGAGCGAGCGTGCTCGGAGCTGGGTCGGCGCGCGCGCGGGCGGACGGCGCCTGTAAACAGACAGCCCACTCATTCAATTCAATCAATTCAAAAGCGAAGAAAATTCCGCCGCTGAGGGGAACCCGGAGCGCTGCCGTACGCCCTCGGAGACCCGTGTTATGGCCCTGCGACCGCGCACCCCCCCACGGTCGAGGAAGGGGGTGCGTTCTGCAGTTAAGGGGTAACCCGGTACACGGAACCATCCCTCGGAGACGTGTTATGGCCCTGCGACCGCGCACCCCCGGGGCTAGGGCTCTCTAGCCCGTAACCCGATGCCGAGCGTCCGGCCAACTGGGTGCGCTTCTCAGCTCCCCGGTCCTGGGCGTGAGGTTACTGACCGCACTCCAAGTGCTCCAAGTGCGATATATCTCGGCCGGGCCGTCGACGCCCTCGAAAGCGGTGGAGCCGGGAGAAGCTGGCGGAGATGAAGGGCGGCAGCGGAGGAAGCGACACCAACAGCGAGGGAAACGGCCACACCGGCCGTCGCATGACGCTCGTGAGACGAGCAGGAGGACGAATCAAAGGGGGTCGGGACCCTGGGAGGACGGGGGGTGAGCCCTCATGCGGGGGGTCTATTCAAGTGCCTGCGCGAGTGAGTGTGGAGTGGGGGTGTGACGTGTGAGGCGTGCAGTGTGGTGTTCATTAGCTCCGAGTAGAGGGGGCGTCCTGCAGTTAAGGGGAAACCTGGTACGCGGGGCCAACCCTCGGAGACCCGTGTTTATTTTAAGGCCCTTTCCCTGCGAACGCGCACCCCCGGGGCTAGGGCTCTCTTGCCCGCAACCCGACACCGATCATCCGGCCCGCTGGGTGCGCTTCTGAGCTCCCCGGCCCTGGATGTGAGGTTGATAACTGCACTCCAAGTGCTCCAAGTGCGAAGAGATTTCAGCAAATTTCTTACCGGCTGCTCTGGCTGCTGCGCCGGCGGCCGCTGCGCTGGCCGCTGCTGCGCCGGCTGGCGGGCGGCACGGCCTCCGGCGGCCGCTGCACCCGCGCCTTCCCTCGCGGGCGCCGTCGCGCCGCGCGCCCAATTCTGCTGGTACACGGCACGCGTCGTCACTCAGCCGCGGAGAACAGGCGGTGCTGTGCGCGAAGCGCGCGCGATCTCGTAAAATTAAGGCTGGATCCGGCCATTCCAAGGGTATACCTTTGAGAATCCCCAGCGTCCCACCCTAGTCATACTCTCAATATCTCGACTCTCCAACACGAAGTGCTGCGATCGGGAGTGGCCCATTTCTTTTTTACTTTCTTTTTTTGGGTCCTGTGGGCACCCTATCGCGCTGCTTCTTCTGGTCGGTGGCTAGCGCCGCCAGCCCGCTCAGCACGGCCGCGGGGTCCGGCGGCGGCGTCAGCTGCTGCGGCGTCGGAGGCTTGAAGATGCGCGCGAGCTCGGGCATCTGCTTCCGCATAAATAATAAAGCGGACACACCAAACAAGGGGTGGGAGAAGGACAGGGTCCCCACCTGCAATAAATAAATAAATAAATACAACGGGCATCCCAAGCTAGGGCTGGGTCGAGGACAGACACGTCCCCACCTTTGCAGGATTTTGCAAAAGCGAGGGGGGAGGGCGCATCGCCGCGCGGAGAGGGCTGGGCACAGGGCACAGGGGATCTCTCTCGCATAGGATATGCACTCGGCGGCACGAGGGCAAGGCTGGGCGTCCTACATGTATGTTTGTGCTCCCCCCCGGACCCCTCGCTCTCGGGCACTAACCATCTGACCACTCATCGACGGGGCTTGGCGAGCGGCCGCGCTGCGGGGCAGGGCTCCCCACCTGCACGCAGCCGCTAAAAACCACCTACATTCTTTTCTTCGTGGCCAAGCCACCCTCGACAGCTCCGCCGCCGGCACATCATGCGCCTCCTGATCGGCCTCGCAGCGTGCTGTTCCGCGGTCGGCTCCGCCGCGCCTCCGAGGCCGCCGCTCGCCGGCCCGCTGCTGCCGCCCGCCACCGCCCGCGCCGCGCCGCGCTGCTGCTCGCCCGCGGACGCGCCAGCCGACGCGCTGCCGACCGCCAGGGTGCGCGCGCCGCGCCGGCTACGCAACTCGGCGCCGGGCGGCCAGGTGGCGAGCCGGCCGGGCCGGCTGCGCAGGCAGGGCAAGGATGGGCAGGAGCGCTCGCTGCAGCGGCTGCAGGTGTCTGGCGGCGCGCACCGCGGCCGCCGGCTGGTGACGCCGTCGGTCTACATGCGGCCGATGATGTCGCGCGTGCGCGAGGCGCTCTTCTCGATGCTCTACCCGACCGGCGTCTTCCGCGAATCGGCGCGCGCCCTCGACCTCTTCTCTGGCTCCGGAGTCGTCGGCATCGAGGCGCGCGCGCTCTCCCTCTTCTCCGGATGGACGCACTCACTCGCTCCCAACCCCCCCTTCTGCCCTTGGCCCCACACGAGCGTGCGTGCAGAAGCCCGCTCCCCTTCCCTCAGGCGCTCTCTCGCGGCGTCGGCCACGCGACCTTCGTCGACTTCTCCGCTGAGTGCGCCGGGACGATCCGGTCCAACTGCGAGGCGCTGGGCGAGGGCGAGCGGATCGACGTTGTCGAGGCGGACGTGATGAGCGTGCTGGCAGACCCGTCGCGGCACGGGCTGCAGGGGCCGTACGACCTCGTGACGGTGACGCCGCCGTACGAGGAGGTGGTGTATGCCGAGCTGATGGGCGCCATCTGCGCCTCCCCGCTGCTCGGCGAGGACTGCCTCGTCGCGGTCGAGTACCCGGTCGAGCTCGGCCTCTTCCCGCCCACCCTCGGGGGAGGCCGCCTTGTCGGGCTGCGCAACCGGCGCTACGGCCGCACCGTCGTCGCCATCTACGTCAACCGGCCGTCGGGCAAGCTCGACCTCGCGCCCTTCAGCGAGGAGTTTGTCGGCCGCTCGGTGGCGGACCTGAAGCTGTGACGCTTGAATACACCTGACTGGTGAGATGTGACTGGTCTGCGGGTGTCCAGGTTTCAGAAAAAAATACCGTTTACGCGAACCGCCGCCGGTGGGACAGTCGCTGCGCGCTGCGTACACCTGCTGTAAACACCGTAGAGACAGCCTGTACCGTAGAGCCGTACAGAGTCAGAGAGCGAGAGTCGAGAGAGAGGGGTCTCGGCCGCCTCTCGCGACCGAAACTGTGGGCGACCGGCGTACTCTCGATCGAGAACAGCCCTGCGTGAGCGCACCCCTCGCCGCCTCTCATCTCACTGTCACGGCGTCGCGCCGTCTCTCACAGTGTTTCTCACAGCGCCGCCCAGTCGATGGGCGCAAATCCCTTCTGCTCGAGGTACTCGTTGGCCTTGGAGAAGACCCTGCAGCCGCGGAACTTTGTGACCGAGAGGGGCGACGGGTGCGCCGCCTCGATCACCTTGTGCCGCGTGCGCGAGATCATCTTGCCCTTCTTTTGCGCAAAGCCGCCCCACAGGATGAAGACGGTGGGCGTCGTCCTCGCGTCGAGCACGCGGATCACCGCGTCGGTGAAGTCCTGCCAACCGAGCTTGGCGTGCGAGTTGGCCTCGCCTCTCCGCACCGTCAGCGTCGCGTTGAACATCAGCACGCCCTGCCGCGCCCAGCCCGCCAGGTGGCCGTGCTGCGGCGGCTTGAAGCCGGGACAGTCGTCCTGCAGCTCCTTGTAGATGTTCTTGAGCGAGGGTGGGACAGCGACGCCGCGCGCGACGCTGAAGGCGAGCCCGTGCGCCTGGCCAGGGCCGTGGTACGGGTCCTGCCCGAGGACCACCACGCGCACCTCGGGCAGCGGCGTCAGGTTGAAGGCGGAGAAGACCTCGGGCGCCGGCGGGAAGACAGTCTTCTTGCCGCGCTCCAGCGAAACGGCACGCGCGATCTGCGCAAAGTAGCTCTTGCACACCTCGCCGCGCAGCGCCTCGCGCCACTGCGGGTCAGTCAGGTGCTCGATCAGGCTCGCAACCTCGGGCGCAAGCGGCTTTGCGTCCGAGCCGGAGGCCGCGGAAGTGCGCGCAACCTTGGAGGCGGCGGCGGCGTCCGCGTCGGGCTGCTCCTCCGCCTCGCGCGGCCGGCTCTTCTTCAGGAACTTGTCCATCGTGTTGTCGAGTGTTGGGGGCCCAAGCCCTTCCCGCGCAGCGCGGACAAGAATTGCGGCTGAACGAGTATTGTATTTTGCTCTTACGTACATTCCCGGAGGAGGACTGCTAGGGTTTGCGATAAGGGTTTACCGGGGTTGGTGCACCACTAACCGCCTCTGCAAGAGCACTGCGCCTCGGCGGGCTCACTCGGTTTTCTCCTCTTTCGTTAAGTTCTCCCGGCCCCCGGAAATGTCCGAAGGCGGGCGGGCACCGGAACCGGTATAAGCCGGTCTGCACCTCCGCGTGTTTAGCCGACACGCGCCCTGGTGGGCCGAGAGAGAGAGTGTGTGTGAGTTTGTGTTTGGGCCGATGCATGTCATCCCAACCCCAAGTAGGCAAGTGGGTTCGGTACAAATCTCTCTGCATGTCTCTCGCTGCATCGCGCTGCTCCTCTTCGCCTGCGTGGCCGCCGACTCGCACGAGTCCCGCAGGCTGATCATCGGCGGTGCCGGCGCGTCTCCAGACGCCTTCCCGTCGGTCGCGTCGCTGCAGCGGCTCGCAACGCACACCTGTGGAGCGCACCTCGCCTCAGCTGTCTGGGCCGTGACCGCCGCGCACTGCATCGTCGACGACGACGGGAAATTGCTGCCCCCGCAGCAGCTTCGACTGCTGACCCACGAGTACGACCTCGGGGCTACCTCGCCCTCCAGCCCGTGCTCGGCCGTCACAGGCATCATGGACGTCATCCCGCACCCAGAGTATGCGCCCTCCAGCTCCGGTAGCCTCGCTCACGACATTGCGCTGCTGCGCCTCTCGGAGCCGCGTCCGGACGAGTGCCTGCAGGGCTTGCCGCGGCTGGACCTCGGTAACAGCGATCTCGTCGACGCTCTCGTGCGGGAAAAGGGAGACGGAGTCGTCGCCGGCTGGGGGCGCACCTCCTTGGACGGCGCGCTCTGGCAGACGTACCCGCGAAAGCTGCGGGAGATCGCAGTCCCGATCGTCAACGAGGGCGTCTGCAGCCGCAACTACGGCGCATCGTACTCTACGAGAGCAATGATCTGCGCCGGCGGGCAGCGCGGCAGAGACACCTGCCTGGGCGACAGCGGCTCTCCCATGCTTTCCGAGCTGGCGGGCACTGGCGAACGCGTCGTCATAGGCATCACCAGCTGGGGATTAGGGTGTGCACAGGGCCTGCCGGGCGCCTACTCGCGCGTCTCCTTTTACCGCGGCTGGCTCGACGAGACCATGCAGATCTCCTCCCCGCTGCCACCGGCTCCGCCCCGCTCTCCGCCACCGCCGCCCGCGCCGCCGCTCCCGCCACTCCCGCCGGTCCCACCGCCTCCTCCAGCAGCACCGCCACCGCTTCCTCCGTCTCCACCAGCCCCGCCGGCCCCGCCCGCGTTGCCCGCCGAGGTTGCTTGCGCATGCTCCACCGACGGGAAATTTGGAGATGTTGACACGGGCATCTCTGGCTGCGGCGACCACATCGGCGACGGCGATAGATGGTGCTATGTGACCGATCCGACTAGCTGCCCGAGCATGGAACCGTCTGTAGCGTTCCCGGGCTTAGGATGGGTGCTTTGCGACGCCCGGTGCAGCTGCACCGCCGAAACCGTCTCCAACGGCATCGAAGTGCCTTTTAGCGGCTGCGCCAACTGGGACAACGACCTGCAAGGCTCGATTCCCTCCCTCGTCTGGTGTTGTCCGGTCTGTTCCTCCACCGACCCAAAACGCTGTGCTAGGTGCGTGGTGCTTCGTCTACGATTCGTCGACCTGCGACAACGCCTACCCTTATGACCACGAGGGGGCGGCCTACATCTACTGCAACAGCAAGCTGCCTTCCTACACCCAATGCACAGACTCTCCGGAGTACGAAGACGTGCGCATGCCCCACGCCCGCACACTCTGCTGCCACACGGCGTGCCGCCAGCCCTCACTGCACCTTCCCTTCCGGGAGCAGGAGTATGGAGGCTGTGACTCCTGGGAGGGGTTCCTCTGCACCATCGCGCACTGGTACGTGAGTGACTGGTCTGCGGCGCGCTCTCGGTGGCTGGTCTACTCCTGCCCCGAGTCCTGCATGGACGTGGTGCCCGAATGCACCACCACCAGCGATCCCGAACCCGCGTTGCCGCCGCCGCCGCCGCCGCCGCCGCCGCCGCCGCCGCCGACCTCGCCCTTGCCGCCTCCGCCTTCCGCGTCGTCGCCGCCGCCGCCGCCGCCGCCGTCGGCCTCGCCCTCGCCGCCGCCGCCCTCCGCGCTGCCGACGCCGCCGCCGCCCTCTGCCTCACCCTCGCCGCCGCCTCCCTCCGCTTTGCCGCCGCCACCATCACCTTCGCCCTCGCCACCGCCGCTGTCCGCGTCGCCGTTGCCACCGCCGCCCTCAGCCTCGCCGTTGCCACCATCGCCCTCATCTCCGCCGCCGTCCACCTTATCCTCCCTCCCGCCAACGCCGTCGCCAATTCGACCAGGAGAGGTCGAGGTTTTCGCTTCCTCCTTCTCCCTCGAGATCGGCTCGGCCCGACGGCAGCGCGCTCTAGCCGCCATGGACTTGGTTGCCATTGAGGCCGCTTTGATCGATTCCTTCGCCACTTGCGACCCCCCTGTGATTGTCTCCGCCGAACATATGACCCTCGAGGATCTCGGCGACGACAAGGTGCAGGCCACCATCGTGCAGGCCGAGGGTGGGCCGGCCGCGGAGGACATCACGGCTGCCGCGGAGCAGCTAGCCTTCCTCACACGCATGGCCGAGCAGCTGGGGGTGGCTAAAGTCGGCTTCGACGCGCCGCCCGTCACGGTCACGGTGGTCGTTGCGCCGCCGCCACCCTCCGCCTCGCCCTCGCCGCCGCCGCCCTCCGCCTCGCCGCTGCCGCCGCCTGCCTCCGCGCCGTCGCCGCCGCCGCCGTCCTTCACGCCCCTCATCGACGTCGATCCAGGACGGTCTGATGAACACACCAGCGAAAACGCTGGTGACGATGGCCCAGTGCTCGAGCTGTGGACGGTGGCTCTTATCGCTGTGGGAGCGGCCGCTGCAGTGCTGTGCTTGGGGGGCTGTTGCATTTGGCGGAGACGGAGGGGCGCTTGTGCCGTCCGCCATCGCCGCGACGCGATGCAAGAGGCCGAGTGTGGAGTCGTGCCGGGATTGCGGGTAAGTAGCCAACTGGAGGTGCCAGTGGCAACTGTGCGTCTCTGAATCTTTGAAAATGTGTGCACCTGCTGTGTTTTCGTACCTGTGAGTGAGAGCTGATGTACGCGTATCGTTCCATCGGTCTCGCGCCTATATGTGTTCCATCGGTCTCGCGCCTATATGTGTTCCGCCTCAGAGCGTCGGAGCAGTGAAAATGTGTCCACACCGTGTTGGCCGTGTACGGCGCTCGTTTACGGAGCCGCATCTAACTTGTGCATGGTCTGAGACTTCTCTCTCCAGTCTACGAAGAGATTAGGTTTAGGAGCAGCAGGAACCCGAGGGACCATGTGGAAGACGGCTAGTGCTAGTCCCCCATCGGGAGGACGACCCCGGCTAGTCGCCGACCACACCCACAAACGCACAAAGAACCCTGCACAAAGATCGCACGGGCGGGGACCTGTTCCTTTTACCCATCTCACAGTAGAGGTGTCCGTTTTTATTTATTTATTTATCTCTCCGTCTCCAGACTCCACCCCCGCTCAACGCGCAAGGGGGCGCAAAAGCCCTTTTAAACATGGCGTCGAGCTAGGCGGTGATACAAGTATCGCAATACGTATTTCTTTTGGGCATGTGGTTGTATGTATTGTACCTCCATTCACAGCATGGATCCCGACGTCATAAACTCCTCCTCATCCTGCGTCTCGCTCAGCGGCGCCATCCGCCACATCTGGACGCCGCCAACCTCGACGAGGCCCGTGCCGGCGGCGCGGCGGAGCTCGTGCGACGTCGTCAGAAGCGTCGTGCGGTGCCCGCTGCGATCTGCGTGCGCCAGCACCATACTCGACGCCAGCACGACCTCGCCGCTGGTGCGGTTCACCTCAGAGAGGACGATGCAGCCCTACTCACAGGTGGACTCTGAAGCGGAGCTGTTGACAGGCTCGCACGGCCAGCCGTGCAGTGCGGTGCCGGGTGCTCCGAAAGCAGGAGGGAGATGGGCCCCTCGCCGCTCTCGGGCTCGAGGCGCGCGGTGCACGCCTCGCCGGCGCCGAGGACGGGAGGGAGGACGCCTCTCATCCGGACCACCCGCTGCCTCCCGCCCGGCAGCACCACGGAGGACTGCACCGTGCAGAAGGCCTGCGCCATGAGCACGCCATGAGCGCGGCCAGAGTCGTGGCGTGAGTACGGTCTCGTGCGGTGTACTTGGAGCGTGAGTACAAGGGCTCTGAGAGCAGCCGAGTACAGCCGACAGTCGCATGCGTCCTCTCGAGTGCCGGTCGGTGTTCACGGACCCGTTGTTTCCCCATCTAAGCCCGCATACGTCGTCGATGCGGATCGAGGTGGTGCCGCGCAGCACAAACGGCGCCGGCGAGAGGGCGGCTCCAGACGCGTAGTGCATCTCGCCTGCCCACACGCCCGCCTCAGCAATGGCGTGCAGCAGCGGCCATCCCGACTGCATGCTCCGACTCCTGCTGCCGCCGCCGCCGCCGCCGCCGCCGCCGCCGCCGCCGCTCATTCGCGTCGAAGGCGCACGCCACGCTCGGAGCATCGTCCGCAGTCGCTGAGGGCCAATGGTCCGCAGGTGTCGCTTGTTGTCGTGCAGCAGCTCGAGCGCGCCTGGCAGCTTCGAGTCGCGCGCGCGGTTCCACTCGGCGCGCGCGCCGCGCACGCTCTCCTTGCGGAGGAGCTGAAGCGTCGGGTGAGGCGATCGCACAGAGTAGTGCGCCGCGTCATCCGGGTCCGGATGGCAGCCCGGGCCAGTGTCGACGCGGTCGGGGTGGAAGGCTAAAATGTCCATGTCCAGCGCAGACATTGAGACGGCCGCGGCGTTGCAAGCCGCGGCGAAATCTGACACACCACAGCCGCTACCGCCGACGACGAGCAGCGTCGTCGCGTGATCCGATGCCGTCTTTGCGAGCCGTTCTGCTTCGCTGACTGCAGTGGCTTCGAGGTCCTCCAGGGCTGGGACGTTGATCAGGCGGAAGCTGGGCGAAGCGAGGGCCAGCGGCGCCCATGGACACAGCTTCTCGCCGATCACGAGGTCATTAATCCAGGCGAGCGTCGCAGATCGCCAGCAGTGAGCCGCGAACATGGGCGAGAGTGTGTCCGAGGAGGCCACCGGCCAAAAGCGCATGTCTGATACTGGAAGGCCAAAAAAAATGACGTCGCTCAAGCGAGCTGGTCCGCCATGGTTGAGTTGAGGCCGCCCACAGCATACAGCTTGCCGTCGAGCACAGCCACAGCGTGAGCCATCCGCGCCTCTGCCATCGGCGCCACCGCCTCCCACGCATCCAACGCCGGGTCGTACCGCTCCACCGAGCTGAGGGCGCTGTAGCCGGCACCCAACCCACCAGCGGCGTACAGCTTGCCGTCCAGCACCGCCACGGCGTGTTCGACCCGCGCCGCCGCCATCGGCGCCACCGCCTCCCACGCATCCAGCGCCGGGTCGTACCGCTCGACCGAGCTGAGGAAGCCGTTGTTGTGAGGGACTGCAGTGCCTTTCCCTTCACTTTCTAAGTCACGTGTAAGTCAGTCCACTTTGCACCCGTCTTTCCCACTGATTCAGTGAATCGTTCAATCGGTTCAGTGCCACTGTGCTTTCACCCGTTGTCCGGCTGTCCACGAGGGGGCCAGCGGCCACGGGCCACCTGAGCCCGCCACAGGTGTTCTCGTCTCGTTGCACGTTGGACGTTGCTCGTTGGCACGTTGCTCGGTCGTTCGGATCCGAGCGATGCGTGTTCGCGGTAAAATCATTCGGGACGGTCCGGTCGTCGGTCCACCGGGCGCCGTGCGCACGTTGTCGTCTGTCGACCCAAACTCCGCGCGGCACGGGGCACGCGGCTCGCGGGGGACGCAGGGCGCGCCGCCGCGCACCGCGCACACAGGCACGGGGACTCGACTGGCAGCCTCGACGCTCGAGAGGTGTCGCGAGGTCTTGATCAACTGAGCGCCCGGGCGTTGACCGCACCGCCTACCCTCCCCACTCCCGCCACTCGTTTGTGTCACACCACGCGGAACGCATCTCCATCGCTTCGGTGAAGGGGGTGAACCGCGCCATCCTCGATCGCCGTGCAAAGCTCGCTTCCGAGCTTTCACGCCGCGCGTAGGGCCTTTAGGGGCCTAGAGAGAGAACACACCTCTCCCTTTTCTCCCAGTCAGCTAAAAGTACTTACCCGGATCCTGCTGAACAAGTTCCGGAGGAGGAGGGATAATGGAGGTAACGTGGGAACAGGCCAACAGCCAGTGGGACGAACGAGGGCTGCGACGGCGGCTCAAGCGGGAGGGAGCGGTGACAGTGGGCAGCGAGCGAAGTGGGTGAGACTGATGATGCTCCTTCGACTTAGGGAGCGGTTCAGCTGCTGGGCGGGCTTCAGGGTGGTGCTCACGCGAAAAGGAATCGACGCGATGTACAAAGCATACAAGAAGAGGAGAAAAAAGAAGAGAAACAACAGTGATGACGAGACAGAAGCTAGCGCGGACGAGAGCAGGGCAGACACGGGAACGGCGGAGCCGGAGCAGACGGCATCGGCCGCCGAGGGAACGTTGGGAAGAGGCACGAGGAGGGCGGCGACCTCGACCGACTATGGAGGACCCGTCGCCAGACGACGCAGGGCAGACGATGTGGAGGCGGAGCAGACGCGCAGAGCGAGACGAGGGAGGGAGCAGGACTTTGCGGAGATCAGCAGGAGGATGTACGAAGAGATTAGGAGCAGCAGGGACCCGAGGGACCATGTGGAAGACGGCTAGTGCTAGTCCCCCATCGGGAGGACGGCCCCGGCTAGTCGCCGACCACACCCACAAAGAACCCTGCACAAAGATCGCACGGGCGGGGGCCTGTTCCTTTTTACCCATCTCACAGTAGAGGTGTCCGTTTTTATTTTGGCGTTCACGCGCTGAATCGTCATCGTCATGGCTGCTGTCTCGCTCGCTCGTGCGTCCTTGGAACTGTGCCCGTCTCCTTCTCCTATGAGCTCGTATGCCACGTCGCCGCCTGTATTTGGGTTTCTATGTTTGCGATTTGGAATTTGGTATTTGGCCAGTTCTTTGTTTATTTATTTGAACAAGTTCCTCTTGTAGCTCGATCGGTCACACCGCCATCGCCGTCGACGTCTCCCTGGGACGACACCGCTCGATCTACCTACCCTCTGGGGTCCCTCCAGCGGCGTGGACCTCGATCCTGTACCGTGTTTGTTATTATGACCCCCCCCAATGAGCACACCAGCGAGCGAGGGAGGGCGACACGATCGAGGGGTCCCGTCCATGCGGAATTGTAAGAGATAAGGCGTCCCAGTGTGAACGTGTTCCACCTCACCCGCCCTCCCTTCCTTCCTCCTACCCTATCCTGTGCTGAATTGCTCAAGTACTTACGCGGCCACGAGAAACTGTGCAGCCCCGCCCGTCGTCGGAAACGGCCGACCGTCATGCTCGCGGTCGAGGATGGGAAGCGCTACGCCAAGCTGCACCGGATCGGCGAGGGCTCTTTCGGCCAAGTGTTTCGGGCGACGGACACACGGACCGGCCGCGACGTTGCGCTCAAGCACATTCGGCTGCGAGACCTGCGCTCGCTCCCCGCCGCAGCGCTCCGCGAGGTGCTCGCGCTTCGGGCAGTGGAGCACCCAAACGTGATGCGGCTGGTGGCGACGTACACGCACGGCGCCAACTTGGTGCTAGTGCTGCCTCTCATGCGGCTCTCCCTGCATGCCGTCCTCGACCAGCGAGCGACCCCGCTTCCCGAGCGCGCAGTGCGCGACATTGGCGCGCAGCTCCTAGCCGGCCTCGCCGCGACCCACGAGGCGGGCGTCATGCACCGTGATGTCAAGCCTGGCAACGTGCTCTTTGGCGGCGATGGAATGGTCCAGCTCGCCGACTTTGGGCAGGCCCGCCTCCGGCCGGATGGATGTGGCGACGGTGCGCCGCTTACAGCGCACGTTGGCACGCGCTGGTACCGCGCGCCGGAGCTGCTACTCGGCTCGACGAGCTACGGCGCGCCGGTCGACATGTGGGCCGCAGGGTGCGTGCTCGCACAGCTCTACACCCTCTCTCCGCTCCTCGCCGGCGCCTCCGACATCGACCAGATGTTTCGCGTTGTCGCGCTGCTGGGCTCGCCGACGTCTCAGCGCTGGCCGGCCGCAACGTCGCTTCCGGACCACGGCAAGCTTCAGCTCCCGGAGTGCGAACCGACCCCGCTTGGCACGCTGATGCCACATGCGCCGGACGAGGCACTCGCTCTCCTCGACCGGCTGCTGCGCTACGAGCCGCGCGCCACCGCCACCGAGGCGCTCGGCAGCGAGTGGGTCGCCAGGCGCGAGCGGCTGAGCCGAGCCGAGCTGCTGAGACTGGTCGTCGACGAGGCCGAGGCCGAGGCGGAGGGGAGAAGAGTGGGGTAAGGCTAAACAAAAAAGAAGACGTGCGCCACTCACGCCTTTGCGCACTCTCTCCAGCCAGCCAGCCACGAGCACGCGTCCTCGACGAGGGGAGGCGTAGCGCGCCGATCCAGCTCGCGACGCACTGCCGCGGCGCTCCAGGCTTCTTGAGACTGGGAGTCCCGCGTGCCCGCCCCGCCCAAGGCCTCCCGCCGGGTAAAGAGTATGGTCTGCGAGCGGTCTCCGCCTCGCAAGTCCTCGGGTGGCAGCGGCGCGTCGCAGCATGCGCTCGCACGAAGCTCTGCCGCAGCCGCCTGAAAGGGCACAAGCAAGGGAGAGTGCCGAAATGGCAATCCCCTATCACGGCAATGCATCCCCTATCACCGCTCTTTTCTTCGTTGAGCTCAGTCTCACCCCGTACCCGCACCTCAATGAGCTCGGGCGAGCCGAGGGTGTTGACAGCGAGGACACCCCCAGCGGAGAGGCTCCTCTCCGCCGCCAACGCAAAGGGGCGTTCGAGCACGCTCGCGGGCGGAGCGATGAGCCCTCTCGCTTCCACGCCGACGTCGCCACTCTCCAGATCGACCAAAATCACGTCTAGACTCGCGGGTTCCGCCGCGTCGATCCAAGCCAGCGCGTCGGCTTGGTGCAGCGTGAAGCGGCCTCCATCTTCCAGCGCATCAACGCCAAAGAGCGCCCGCGAAGCCGCACATACGTCGGGGCAGAGCTCGACCGAGTCGATGCGAGCAGCGGGGAGCGCGTGGTGGAGGAAGGCTGGGAGCACGCCCGCCCCGCCGCCGAGCACGGCGATGCGGGGCGTCGTCACGGAGGGCGAGCGGCGGTCGTGGCCCAAGGCGTGCACGGCCACACCGAGGGCGAGCCCTTGGGAAAAGGTAGCCGTCGGTCCGCTGGTCGGTGGAGGCCAATCGTGACGCACCTTGCCGGCGGCGTCGACGGTGGCGCAGCTCTGCGGGGGATTGGAAGTGCGCGTTTGGAGATCTGCAGGCTGGGCTGCTCTCATGCGTGGATAGGGAGCTGCAAATGGACATGGGGCGTGCCCACCTGTGCAATATCCAGCCTGTCGTTGAAGTGAAGCGAACGCAGCGCTCGTCCGTCCGATTTATCCGAGAAGAGCGTATCAATAACGCTGACGGCGGGCGTGCAGTACCTCAACTCCTGTCGACCACCGGCGGCGGACGAAGAGTGCCGCCACTCCTGTTCCCACTCGGCCAGCTCGTCTTCGCCGACGTCCGAGAGGAGCTCGAGCGCTTGAGAGAAGCTGAGGCCCATCTCGGTATGAGTGACTCCTGCGAGGAGGCCACGGATGTCGCGCGGCGGTGGCAACGTGCAGCGATAAGATCTGGCGCGGGCAACAACATGGCGCGCATGGCACCGCATGGACTCCTAGTGGATGCGCAGCCCTCTCAGGGTGAACCTTCTTTTCTAGACCGGAAGGATTGAGAGCAGCCTCGCTCTCAATCCTAGAAGTCGAAGGATTGTGAGCAGCACTCCTCGCAATCGTAGCATCTCTGTGCGATTGCGAGCGCCGGCGCTCGCAATCCTACATCTTCTAGGACTAAGAGCAGCTCTGCTCCCAAGGTGACTGGTGACGCCTACGACTACTGCCAGAGCGCTCGCAATCCTAGCAAAGTCTAGGATTGCGAGCAGCACTGCTCACAATCCTAGCAACATGCCTCCGATTGCGAGCAGTGCTGCTCACAATCCTACATCTTGTAGGACTATGAGCGGCGGCGCTCACAATCGTACCGAAGATCCAGAGATCTGCGCTCGTAATCCTAGCAACATGCACCGATTGCGAGGAACCCGCTCGCAATCCTCAGATTTTGGGTACGATTGTGAGCGCCGCCGCTCATAGTCCTACAAGATGTAGGATTGCGAGCGCTACTGCTCGCAATCGGAGGCATGATGCTCGGATTGTGAGCAGTGCTGCTCGCAATCCTAGACTTTGCTCGGATTGCGAGCGCGCTGGTAGTAGTCGTAGGCGTCACCAGTCACCTTGGGAGCGGAGCTGCTCTTAGTCCTAGAAGATGTAGGATTGCGAGCGCCGGCGCTCGCAATCGCACAGAGATGCTACGATTGCGAGGAGTGCTGCTCACAATCCTTCGACTTCTAGGATTGAGAGCGAGGCTGCTCTCAATCCTTCCGGTCTAGAAAAGAAGGTTCACCCCCTCTCAGTTCACGCGCCGGAATCGTGAACCGTGAACCGTGAAGCAACTCTCGTAGCCCCCGCCCCGAGTCCGTGAACCCCGAACCGTGAACCGACTAGCCCCCACCCCGAGTCCGTGAACCGTGATCCGTGAACCGACTCCTCCCGCGACACCCGCCGCGAACCGTGAACCGTGAACGAACCGAGTCTGGCGAACCGGCGGTGAACCGCCGGTTCGCGAACTGGGTTCGCGAGAACTGGTTCGTGAACCGCCCCCACCAACCTACTTGCCGGGCTCATAGTCCTTCTCGTGCTTGCGCATGTTACTCCAATGAAGGCTCCGGGCCGTCTCGAGCAACTTCGAAATCGTCCGTTTTTGTGACCTCAACATCCTGCTGCTCTTTGACCTCAGCCTCGCTGCCCTCTGCGCGGCTGACCTAACCTGTGCTGCTGCTGCTGCTGCTGTTTGCAGCTGATGCTGCTCCTGCTACCCTCCCGCCCGCCCGCCCTGCCCGTCCGCCCTGCCCGCCCGCTCGTAAGGGGTCTTCACCTTCACACTGGTCGGTCCATAGGTGGGCAACCTTCCCGTCGAAGGTGAAGCGGCCTCAACTTCGCGCCCTACTGCCCGCCCTCGCCCTCGCCTCCCGCCTCCAGCCTCCGCCCGCCGACCCGCCGCCAGCTCGTCCGCCACCCCGTCGTCTCTGTCGCCTCTCGCCCGCCCGCCATCGCCCTCGCCTTTCACCATCCGCCGCCTCCCGCCGACCGCCACGCCAGCTTGCCCGCCGCCCTGTCGTCTCGCCTGTCGCCTGCCCGCCCTCGGCTCGCCGCTACCCCGCCCGCTCGCGCCCGACTTTCTACCTCCTCGTGATCCAACCCGCCACCCCCCTCGCCTCCTCACCCTCCCGCCGCCTCGCCGCTACCCCGCCCGCTCGCGCCCGGCCGTCTACCTCCTCGTGATCCAACCCGCCACCCCCCCTCGCCCCGTCACCCTCCCGCCGCCTCGCCGCTCCCTCGCCCGCTCGCGCCCGACTTTCTACCTCCTCGTGATCCAACCCGCCACCCCTTTGCCCCTCGCCTCACCCTCCCGTCGCCTAGCCGCTCGCTCGCCGTTCGCTCACCCGCTCGCGCCAGACCTTCTACCTCCTCGTGATCCACCCGCCGCCACCCTCGCCTCGCCCTCCCGCCACCTAGCCGCTCGCTCGCTCCTATCCGTGCCACGCCTATCCGTGATCCTTCCGTTACCGCGCCGTCCTTGCTCCTCCCTGCCGCGCCGCTCCTTCCTCCGTGCCGTGCCGCCCTTGCCGTTTAGCCTGCCGCCCCCCCTGCCGTCCGTTATCGCCGTGCCGCCGTACCGCCGCTCCTACAGTGCCGCGCCCGCGTGCCGTTTGTCCCGCCGTCCGATGCCCTGCCTGCCGTCTGTTGCCGCCGCGCAGCCTTACCGCCGACCCTTACCGTCCCGCGCCGCCTCTACACACACACACACCTGACTTCTTGCTCGACCGGGTTTGCGTTGAGGAGCGAACCGAGCCGCCGGTGTGTCCCGCAGCGGCCTCGCTGGGCCAGACAGAAAGTCGGCCCGCGAGTGCTCCGCAGCAGCCTCGCTGAGCCAGACGGTCGGCTCGCGAGGTGGATGCTAGCATGAGCCCGATGCGTCGCAGTGCTCTTGCGTTTCGGCGGTAGTGATCTGATCACCCGAATACCACGTTCGGATCGCTCCTCATCGCAAACCCCGTCAGCAGTCCACAGTCCTCCTCGGGAATGTACGTAAGAGCTACATACACTGAAAAGAGGGAAAACCCAACAGAGAAAAGAAACAAGGGCTCTAAAACAGAAAATAACCTTCCCAACAACATACCTAAAACAGAAAAGAATTTTAAAGAAAAAGAAACACGTCGAAACACGGCGCCAGCTGCACGGCGCTCGGCTATCCCCCCACCCCCAGGCCATCGAGGTTTGCCGCGGTCATGCGCACCAAAGCACAGCCCAGGCCTGCGGGTTCTAGCCGCACCTTCAGGCTAGCAGCCGCGGCGATTGCAGCCATAGCAGTCTACGTTCTGATACTGCACACGCCAATCACGAACAGCAGCCTTCATCATGAGGCATCAGCGGCAATGGGGCCGGTGACGGCTGCAGCGGCAGAGGCGGCTGCAGAGGAGGCCTGGGCTGCTTCAGCGGTGCGGGCGGCGTCAGCATCAGTGGACTTGGCTGCCATCTCCGCGGCGTCCGCATCAGCCGAGGCGGCGGCCGCGGCCACGGCGATAGCTCAGCAAGAAGTGGACGCCGCCCTCGCAGCCTCAGCGGACAGTGGCGCCGCCGCCGCCGCTGAGGCTACCGCCGCCGCTGCCAGCAGGCCGGGGACGGCGGCATGGCTAGGGGCGCAGGAGCTCCTCGACTACTGCAACGCTCACCCAGGGGCGGCGTCTGACGTCGCGGAGGCGGGCGCGGAGTGCGTTGCATCTCGGTCGGACTGCATGGCACAGAGACTCCCCGGCCAGGTGCTGTTTGAGCAGTACGTGCGCCAGACCGCGACGAGGATCGGTCGCGCCACCGTCGGCGTGCTGCGCAGCGACTTGCACAAGCCTGGAAATCAGAGGGTGGAGGAGGTGCTGAGGCTGGCGGGCCTGTCCGACGGCAGCAGCACGGCCTTCGAGGTGGCGGCTCCGGCGTGGGACGTCACCTTCAAGAACATTACGCTCACGTCGGTGGGGAACGACTTCGACGTCCGGGCGAGCCGTCTGCTGCGACTGCCTGGAGTGCTGTGCAGGGTGTCTCGTTCACACCCTCTACCCTGTGAACAGGCGAGCCTGTGCTGGGACAACCTCGAGTGGTGGGAGGTGCAGGACCCGCTCACGCAGCTATTCGATACGTCGCCGCCCGACGAGGTCGAGATGACCTACACGCGCCTGTCTCTCGGCTACCACGGCGAGCTCCTCTCTCTCTCTCTCTCTCTCTCTCTCTCTCTCTCTCTCTCTCTCCTCTCCTCTCCTCTCCTCTCCCCTGCTCTCGTCTCGTCTCCTCTCCTCTCCTCTCGTCTCGTCTCGAAGACGGTCGACCAAGCCGTGAGCGGCGTCTCTTCACAGCTCTACACGTGCGGACAGGTGAGTTCGTCGTCTCGAAGACGGTGGGACCACTCACGTCGACCTTCTTCTCCGGCTCCTTCTCCTACACGGGCGTCGGCTTCTTGCAGCTCTACCTCGACCTGAACGCGCTCGACACGGCGGCCATCGGCGAGTGTGCGGGCAGATTCGAGACTGCGAGCATCAACGTCCGCGTCAACGTCGACGCGAGATCACCCGAGATCACCCGAGATTCCCCGAGATTAGGCGAACATCGACGTCCGCGTCAACGTCGGCGTCTCCGCCTTCGAGTCTGCGGCAGGGGCTGCTATCAACGATCCTCGTTGATGGCCAGCGATTCGTCATAGGCTGCTCCGCCTGCTTGTCTGCCGAAGGGGGGCTGGTCGTCAATGACGAAGGGTCGACTGCTTGTTGTAGGCCTCTCCGCCTTCGAGTCCACCGCGGGCAAGTTCGTCGAGTCGATGGCCCTAGATGCGGAGGTCACATCTCCCCATATCTCCCCATATCTCCCCATATCTCCCCATATCTCCCCACCCCTAGATGCGGGAGCCACACCGATGTCTTCCGACGAGCACCCGAGAGGACACGCGCGTTCAGATGTAGCGACGGTGGCATTCAGCTGTGTCTCGCTGCATTCGCATTCACGCAATGCTCCGACGGCACGGCACGAGCGCCGAGCTCAGACTGTAGGTCGATGACCCCTTTCTGGGACGCGGCGCTGCCGTCGTTCTTGTGCGACGGCAAGCTGCCCTCGGGCTCCGCCTCAACCTTCATGGTGGGAGAGCGGTGCGCCGCCGAGGGCGAGAGATAAATCGAGATTCACTGAGATGAAGCGAGATTAGGTGGGCGAGCGGTTCGCCGTCAAGGGAGGCGCGGGAGAGAGGCGGTGGGGCGGGCTGCGCGTCGAGGCGCCGCCTGCTCCCGCAGCAGCCACTGTGTACAGCGGCCCTTCACGCCATCGTGCTGTGAGCACCTCCAGGTGCCGCTCCTCCTCTCGCAGCACCCCGCCTTCCTCTTCTTCGTGCGAGGGCCGCCCGCCGCCGAGCGCCGCCGCAAGGCGCTGCTTTCTCGCGCGAGGCTGCACGAGGTGGGGGGTAGAAGAAGAAGAACAGGAGGATGGCCGTCATAACAACGGCATAACAAGAGCCCTCTCTTGCACGAGGTGGGGGTGGAGGCGAGGCTGGGCGAGGGCCGTTTCGCCAACGTGCCCTCGGACTACGAGGATACGGTCTGGAGCGACAGCAGCACCGCTCCCGCTCCCGGGAGCCGACTCATTCGTTCACCGCCGCTCCTTCCTCGAGAGAGTAGGTCTGGAGCGACGACAGCACCCTTCCGGACCCGACCGAGTTGGCCGCCACGTCTTCCGGCACTCGCAAGCAAGCAGGGCTGTCTGACGGCGTCGCGACGCTCATCATAGACGTGCAGGCGCGGAGCGAGAGTCACACTCGTAGATGCGCAGGCGGGCGGCTATGAGGTAGTGAGCAGGTAGTGAGTTGATAGCTTCGGCTTGGACGTGCAGGTGGGCGCCGCGGTGGTGGGTTCGATGCTGGCCGGCATCACTAGCTTCGTCATCTACGAGGAGCCGGCCCCCCTCCTGATTCACAGCAGCACCGTCCCAATGAGTGGTTCCTTTTGCACCAGGAGCGGTCCCTCCCCGGCGGCGAGACCCCCCCCGTGGGAGCGTCGGTGGTGTCGTGCGCGCGGAGAGGGGCGCCGAACGAGGGCTTGGACGAGGGCGTGGACGAGCGGGGCGACCCGCCGAGCTCTCCTCCTCCGCCGCCGCGCGACCTGGCCTCGCAAGCCCCGGGAGGAGCCGGGCGCATGGATGATGGAGTGTGACACGTCTGAATTAAGACTCACAGGCCTCGCAAGCCCTGGAGGAGCTCGAATCGATCGCCAAGGCGAACGCGATCACGCCGGCGGCGCCGCTGTGCACGCGGAGGCCGTGGATGGACCTCCTCTTCTCGCTCACGCCGCTCGCCGCCTCTTCGGATGTCGAGGTGACGTTCTACTCGGCGACCACGGGCAGGCTCGCGTACGTCCTCCGCTGCCTACGCTCAAGACACCTCCTAGACACTTCCTAGACACCTAGACACTTCCTTGTTCACACGGGCAGGCTCGCGTACGTCCTCCGCTGCCTGCGCTGCACGGGCGCCGGCGCGTCTTGGGAGCTCGCCTCGTCCCACCCGGGGCCCTCGTACGACGGAGGGCCGCCCGCGCCTCGCGTCGCGCCGAGCCAGCTGGGGACGCCTCTCTACCGGCACTTGTTCCTCCCGCCGGGCAGCGGGAGCAAGACTTGACCATTGAGTCGCCGTCCCTGGCTGGCAGGCACATGCTCATCCAGCCTAGCAGCGGGAGCGAGTCGCGCCGCTTCGTCCTCTCGCGCTGGAGGCGCAAGTGGTGGCTGTGGGGCGGCGGGGACACGTGCGAGAGATGGCCGAGAAATTGCCGAGAGATGGCCAAGAGATGGCCGAGAGATGGCCGAGAGATGGCCGAGAGATGGCCGAGAGATGGCCGAGAGAAGGCCGAGAGATAGCCTGCGACACGTGTGAGCCCGCAGCCACGGTCCGGCATCTCCTCAGCGCGCTCGTTCACAGACGCCCACGAACAAGCCGGAGCTCGACGTGGTGCGGACGGCGCCTCTTCACACCTCTAGCTCTGTGAACAGGCCGGAGCCCCTGCTCGAACTCGATGTGCTGAGGGCGCTCTCGTTCGAGCGGATCGCGTCGCAGCCTTTCTACTCGCTGCCGCTGACGGCGCTGCGCGTGCGGCTCGCCGGCTCCGACGAGACGGTCGCCGTGGTCAACGAGGTTGGGAGCGTCGGGCGGAGCTTGGGCGTGTGGAGGGAGTACGTCATCAGCGCTGCGGAGGGCGTGGACGAGCTCGGCCTGCTTGCGCTCCTCCTGGCGCCACCTCCCCCCCCTGCCCGTCCGCCTCCCCCCTCCCCCCTCTCCTCCCGCCCCGCCCCTCTCTCCGCTCGCTTTTCAGCCCTGTACTCCCTCCACCCCCTTGTCACAGGCGGGAGTCTACATGGCGGAGGGATGGGACTCGCTCGCCACGCTCGCGGTCGCGCCTTGGAGCGCCGCGTCCCACGTCTCGGAGGCGGGCGAGGCGGCGACGGCGGCGGAGGCGGGGGCGTCGGAAGCGGTGGAATCAGCGGAGGCGGCGATGGAGGCGACGGCGGCGGTGGGCGCGGCGGCGGCAGTGACGGCGGCGGGCGCGGCGGCGGCGGCGCCGGGCTCGGCGGTGTCCACGGCGGCGGTCGTGGGGACGGCGGTGGGGTCGGTGGCGGGGGAGGTTGCGCTCGGGCCTGTTGGGGAGGGGATGGAGGTCGAGATAGAGGAAGAGGCGACGCCCCCGCCATCGACGCCGCCGTCGCCGCTGCCGGGGCAAAGGAGATGATCGGCCGTGCAGCTCGCCGTGCACTGTCAGAGCCGCGTGGCTGGGAGATAAACAAATAAACAAAAGCGGACACCTCTACTCTAGGAGATGCCATCTGAGATGGGTAAAAACTAAAAAGGAATAGGAACAGCTGGGGGAGACCGACGGACTCGGAAACTGGTGCTCTTTATGTGTGTGAGTACTGACTAGCACCGCGCAACCGTCGAGGGCATGGTCCGCCTTGCACATTAGTATTTTGCATGCAGTTTATTAGACAACGTACAGTCAGGTGAGATCATGCGGTGAACGTGAGGTGACACCTCTCGCTGTGAGAAACAACGGTCACGTCCCTTCTCGACGTCGGCGAGCGGCTCGGCCAACTGTAGAGACACACAGCGCCACTCGTGAATAGACGCCACTGCGAGGAGCGGTGCGCGGCGGTGCGCCCCCGCCTCATTCGTCGTCCGCGGCCTCGTCGTCCGCCTTGGCCTCGGACTCCCCCTCCCGCCGCGGGCTCCTCTTCCCGGAGGAGCTCTTCTTCGTCTTCTTCTTGCCCGCCTTCCCCGCAGCCTCGTCGCCGCTGTCCGGCGCGGCGTCGTCGCCGCGGGGCGGCTTCAGGTCGATGTCGAAGAACTTGCCCGCCAGCTTTGGCAGCACCAGCTCGAGCAGCCGCTGGTTGAGCTCGGGCGGCACCGCGCACGACCGCAAGACTGTCAGCTCGTGCGACAGCTCAACCACCTTGGGCGGCGGCTCGCTCAGCATCACGACCTTGGCCTTCTGCGCGCGCGGGTGCCAGAAGATGCGCACCCGCGCCTCGACCGACACGCGCTCGAGCCGCAGCCGCGCGAGCGCCGCCTCGGACGGCTGCGTCGAGCCCGAGAGCAGCGACCCGAGCCAGCCGGTCGCGCCGACATAGGCGTCGAGCTGGCCGAGCGAGAGCGAGAACTTGAGCGTGGGCGTCATCTTGATGATCTGCTCCTTGATGTCGCGGTACTCCACCGGCCACTCCTCCCTGGCCTTGGCCTCCGCCGCCGCCTTGGCCTCCGCCGCCGCCTTGGCCTCGGCCGCCTCGGCCGCCGTCTGCGCCTTGGGAAGGCAGGCGGCAAAGGGGCCGCGCTCCGCCCGAGCGGCCGCGCGCCCGGCGGCGAAGCCGTCCTCGTACGCCTTCTCCGCGTTCGTCCCCAGCGCCTTGGCCTTCTTCCGCTCGTACTCTCGCCCCGAGATGATGCCCGCGTCGCGCAGCTCCTTGAGCGCCGCCACCGAGCCCTGCGCGTCGTCGGCCTTCGCCTTCTTCGTCTTCTTGCCGGGCACGGCGGACGCGGCCGTGGAGCCGACGGCGGCGCCGCTCTGTCCGACCATCTTGACCATCCCGCCGAGCCCCGCCGCGAGGGGCGAGAGGCGCAGGCTCAGCTCCGGGACGACCTTGCCCGCGCGCAGGTCGCCGGGCTCGACATTGAGGCGGCGCGCAAAGGCGAAGGTGATGACGCTGTTGACGGGGACGGCCGCGCCAGGCTGGGACATCTCGATCAGCTGTTTGCCCACGAGCATGCGCACCGTCGGCAGCACGGGCACCAGCAGCAGGTCGAGGAGCGCGGTGGCGGTGTCGGGGCCCTCGCGCAGCATGCGCATGGTGGCCGGGCCGGTGATCGGGTTGTTGAGCAGCATCAGCAACGTGCGGCCCGCGAGCAGCGCCGTCTCGCGCGAGGCGGCGCCGGCGGTGTCGACCGCCCCGCCCACGGCCCCGCCCACGGCTCCCGCCGCCTTGTGGACGCTGAGGATGTGGCGGAGGTTGGAGATCGTCGCGAGCGGGTTGGTGCGCTTCTTGGCCGGCTTGCCGGCGGAGGCGGACTGCTCGACGTCGACGTTGATGTCGTCGACGTCGGCGTGCGGGGTGGTGCGCTGCGAGGTGGCCATCGTCGTGCCGGAGGTCATGCGTCGTGCGTCCTTTCGGGCTTGCGAGTTTGCGACCTTTGTGGGCACGTTCTCATATTCCTTGGTGGCCCGCACTTAGATTTGTTTCCGTCGGTCCCGTGTGCCGGTGTTGTGTTACCGCTCCACCGAGCTGAGGTAGTTAGTTCCTTCTTTCTCGGTTTTGCTCTGGCGCCCGCCCGTGGGCTCCTCCTTCCTTCGTTCGCTTCTATCACGCTCGACGTGCCCCCGAGCGCTTGCGCCGGGTGTCGCTGCTGCCCCGCTGCCGAACGGGAGAGAGGACCGAGCGGGAGAGAGGTCCTGGCCGGGGGGGCCCGGTGCGGCGAGGTCGAGTGAGAGTGTACGAGTGTGGAGGGGGCGCCCCGCCGCTAGGGGAAACCCGAAGCGCGGACTAACCCTCGGAGACCCGTGTTTACTTTACGGCCCTTTCGGTTTCTTAAGCCGCTTTCCCTGCGAACGCGCACCCCCCAGGGCTAGGGCTCTCTAGCCCGTAACCCGATATATGGCTCGCTGGGTGCGCTTCTTAGCTCCCCGGCCCTGGATGTGAGGCTGCCGACTGCACTCCAAGTGCTCCAAGTGCTCCTCGCTGCATTGCGAGTTCTCCAGCCACGACAGCTCCTCGGCCATGGCGGGCTCTCCTGGACACGTCCGGCACAGCCACTTTGCAAACATCTCTGGCCGAAAGGAGACGCTGCCGTGCAGGGTATCATAGAGGGCAAGCATCAGAGGCATCGTGGGATTGGCCGCGGAGGAACTGCAAGGAACCCAGGGGCGTTTCAACGCGAGCGACGCGACTTACGCCTCGCCTCCTTATCCACGTGGAACCAGCAAGCACAAGACATGCCCGCTGGGTGCGCTTCTTAGCTCCCCGGCCCTGGATGTGAGGCTACCAACTGCACTCCAAGTGCTCCAAGTGCCCAAGGAGCGCAACGCGACGCCACGCGCCACGGGCAGGAATATAGATAGATAGATAGAAAGGCGAAGAACAGTCTAGCTCGGACTGGACACCAACGCGGAGGGGGGGGGGATTTTTAGCAATTTGTTCGGTATGGGTGGACACGAGACAGAAGACGGCGACACGTGCGAGCAACACAGACACACAAACTCACAAGACACTCACCCAGCTGGGCTGCCACACATCCCGAGTGAGCGGCACTGGAATACCGTGGGGTCTCTATTTAAGAAAGACGAGGATCGAGGTTAACAGACAGCAATAGATCCGGTCCTCACACGCGGCCTAATCGATACCCGGCCCTCACGGAATCGGTCCCTTGTACAGCAATTGATCCTTCCGCTGCCGCCAACAAGTTGCCCAGAAATCGAACCCACCCAAACCCTAGCCCAAACCGTCACTGCGGCGAGCCAGAATGCTGCCCCCCGCCCTCGGTGCGTGCGCCGATTCGAGCGACGCCTGTTGCTGGGCGGGCTGCCTCCCTCCCGTCCGCCAGCGATTTGCTCGCCCACAGGCGGGCTGCCCGCCTGCCTGCGCTCGCCACTCTGCCCCCCCCCCCCCCTCCCCCCTTTAATGCCCGCCGGCAGGGGCGCCAGCAATGGTCCTTGGTTGGCGAGCGCGAATCGGCCCCCCCCTGCCTGGCTCCAGGAAGGAACTGAGCCGGCACTACATCCAGATCTATTGGTGTTAACTTTGTCTTAAAGAGATCTGACGGTATGTTAGTGCTTTTATCCTGAAAAAGAATTTTACAATAAAGCTCCCTCGCACACTGGGCACGGGACTGGCGCGCACTGGCACTAACCAAAAGAAAAAGAATCCCTGCCAGCTGTTGCGATGGCCGATGTTGCGATCGAGCTCGACGTGTGGACCGACGTTGCCTGACCCTGGTGCTGGCTGGCCAAGGTTCGGCTCGACAACGCAATTAAACACCTTGCGCGCACCTCGCCAGCGATTACCGTCAGGCTGCACTACCGCCCATTCATGATCGATCCTCACACAAAGCCGGACGGCGAGCTGTATGCAGACTACCACCGCCGGCGGTGGGGTGGAGACGGATGGACGGCGCCGATGAAGCGGATGGGGCGTGCCGAGGGCGCTCCCTACGCGAACTGGAAGATCTGGCCAAATACTCATCACGCGTCACGGCTGCTACTTGAGGCGATTGACGCTAGCTGTGCAAGGTGTGTGTAACAGGCACCTGCATTCTCACGCCCACGCCCAACCCCCGCAGGCGGGCCGGCACGGCCTGGGCGACGCGGTGATCGGCAGGCTCTACCGCGCGTGCTACGAGGAGGGCGAGAACGTGTCTCGCAAAGAGGCGCGCCGCAGCAGCCCCGTCAGTCTGCACACGTCGCAGGGCGCGCCGCACGGCACACACGCGCGGGTGCTGTGCGGCGGGCAGCGCACGAGGCAGGGTAGGGGGGAGTGTGTGTCACATCGGCACATCTCGGCACATCTCGGCACATCTCGGCACATCTCGGCACATCTCGGCACATCTCGGCACATCTCGGCACATCTCGGCACATCTCGGGCAGGTGGTCGCCGCCGTGGCGCGGGAGGCGGGCGTGCCCAACGGAGACGAGTACGTCCTGTCGGGCAAGGGGACGGACGAGCTCGCCGCCGAGCTCGCCAATGTGAGATTCGCCGAGATGTAGCCGAGATTCTAGCCGGGATCTAGTGGGCACCCCCCCCACCCCCCCCACCCCGCACCCCCACGCACAGGCAGCCACCTCTGGCGGGCGGCGCGTGCGCGCGGCCCCCACCTTTGAGCTGCGGGCGGGTGCCTCCCCCGCACTCGCCTTCAGCGGCGCGCGCTAGAGAGAGAAGCGTGGCAGAGAGAGGCAGGCACAGGCAGACACGTACACACACACACACACACACACACACACACACACACACACACACACACACACACACACACACACACGCAGATAGAGAGAGAGAGAGAGAGAGAGAGAGAGAGAGAGAGAGAGAGAGAGAGAGAGAACAGAGAGAGAGACAGACGAGTGGCTCAGGTGCGCGCGAGACAGACGAGTGGCTCTCGCTGCTTCACGAGGCGGCCGAGGCGGCGAAGCCGTCTGCAGGCGCATGAGCAGGCGCCAGCGGCAGTGTGTGCGCCTCGTAGTTGTGGCAGTACCCGCCCCAAACTCCGCGGATGACGGCGGCGCTGGGAAGCCGGAACGGTCGCTGACCCCCGGCCCGCGCTCGCCCGACGCTGAAAGATAAAGGAGGAGTGGCGGGCAGTGCTGCCTCTCGGCAGGTCCAGTAGCCTAGAGCCGTAGGGGCGCGCGTTGGTACTAGGAAGATAGGAATGTAGAGGCTTTAGGCGGTCATTCGAAGCAGAGCCTCAGGTAGAGTACACGCATCCCACTCCGACGCTTGTTGTCGCTTCAAAAAGACGAGGGTGTGCCCCTTGAGCCTTGTGCCTAGACCAGGGACTCTCTCTCCAGACTGAGCGGCCTCTTTCGGTATCGCCTATCGGTTTCGGCTTTCGCACACCATCGTGAATGACCTAAGCCTAAGGGGGGCACTTCCACTTTTGTGCGTTCTTTGGTACTTGGATCTCGGCGGTTTTGTGGCTCTTTGTGTCCCGGCACCCGGGCCCCTCTCGCCTCTCTTCGCGCGACCTGCGAAAGCTCACCGCGCCAGGCTCTCCTCGCGCGTGCTAAAAAGCCACACACACACCGGTGCGGGCAACGCCTTCCCGGTCGCGGGAGAGGGGCGAGCGCTGAGGGTGGAAGAGATGTGTACGAAGGCGGCGGGAGCCGTGAGCGTGTAGCGCAGCGTGGGGAAGGGTAGCACGCAAACGACCGCGCGCGCGCCAGCAGCAATGAGAGCGATACATAGAGTCGGCTGGGAGGCGACTCTGGCGACTGGCGCGAACGCTGGCGCAAGGGCTGGCGTCGAAGGGGTGTCGAAGCGAACAATTCTTGGGGGCGTTGTCCTTTATGCACACACGGCACTCATTACTCAGCAAAAGACACAACTTAAGACGAGTGCACGAGTGGTCGCACGTGGGTTCGCGTTCTAGTACACGTGCACCGCACATCATGTTACGGTCGACAAAGGTACTCCGCTGGCCACAAGTCGTGTGGCGGGCGGCGCAGCGTACGGCATGCAGGCATGCACTAGCTAGTCAAGGCAGAGAGCACACGTGGCGCGAGAAGTACGCGTGCCCACGGTCCGAAGCCGCCGTTGGAGCGGCCGCCTCCAGCACTCTTTGAACAACGGTACTCAACGGCGGCGTCAGGGCGCCTTGGGCTTCCCGTCGGCAGACACGCACCGCGCGTCGTAGAGAGCGGCGGGAGGCGCGGTGTAAGTGCCAAAGAGCTTGTCCCACACCACAGTGCGCTTGCCGTAGTTGGACAGGGGCTTGATGTGGTGCATGGTGTGGTCGGGAACCTGAAGCGCGGTGCGGGGGCGCGCGGGGTGGGGAGTGAGCACACGCGTAGACAGCCTTCTCGTGAGGGAGAGGAGGGGCAGTCGCCTTTAGCTCGATGCCTAGAGTCTCGTGCAGCAGCCGGAGGGGGTTGCCGTTGATCGTCCTATGAGCCACACAGTGGAGGGGCGTCACAGGCGGACGCGTGCTCTCTCTCTCTCTCTCTCTCTCTCTCTCTCTCTCTCTCTCTCTCTCTCTCTCTCTCTCTCTCTCTCTCTCTCTCTCTCTCTCTCTCTCTCTCTCTCTCTCTCTCTCCAGACCAGCTCATGGTCGAGTGGCCCAGCAGCTCGACCAAGTGGCCTGGGGGTGGGGGCGAGGGTGGGGGCGAGGCGACTGGGGTGAAGGCGGTAGTGAGGGTGCGAGGGCCAAGGGGGGGCAGAGGTGTCATGAGGGCAGCGGCGGAGAGGCAGCGAGGGCGGTTGCGAGGGGATGGGCGGCAACCCCATGACAAGAGCAGAGCGAGGTGAAAAAGTGTCACGTCGCTGCCAAAGACGGCGGCAACGATGCCCGCGAGCGCGAGCCCAAGCACGTACCCCACCATGATGAAGGACGCCTCGGACCAGGTGATTGTGTACCTGCCTCGCGCGTTGGGGATGTGCGTCAGCGGTTCTGCGGCGCATGAGCGGGGCAAACTTCAATCCGTGATCGATCTGCAGGCGCACGTCTCAAAGGCGACGAGCGGACCGAACGCCTTGCCCGTGTCGGTGTGGTGCTCCTTGTGGATCCAGCGGTACAGGAGCCTCGGGGGCAGGGTGCGGGCATACGGGAAGTGGTCAGGGACCTGGCTGGCGGCGGGGGTCGCTTCTCTCGGGAGGCGCCTGTTCTCGTGGCAGGCGCGGTGAAAGAGGTAGAAGGCAAAGTCCAGGCCGAGGTCGTAGGCGAGCGTCATGCCCGCGGCTCCGTGGAGCAGCATCGCCCCGGTCGGCGCGCCCGAGCTCATCTGGCGCCACCCGAGCAGCTTGACCACCAGCGGGAAGCCGGCGAAGACGCCGAACCCCTCCATCACGAGCACGACGAGGCACTGAGGCCGGGGGGGGGCGTGAGTGAGACGAGTACAGCGAGGCGCTGGTTGGGAGGTGCTAGAGAGCCCGCGGTGGCGGGTTGGCGCGGTGGCAGCGAGGCGCGAGCGGGGACACGAGCCTTGCTCGCGTGACGCCACGTTACTCCCTTCATGGCACGTCCTTCGTATACGTCGGCGTTGAACTGAACGGACCATGTCTCAAAGATTGCAAGCGGCCAGGCGGCGATCGCCGCCCAAGGGCTGTAGTAGACCGCGAGCGTCATCCAGCCCCAGCGAGCAAGGATGGTGAAGCAGAGCATCGAGAACTGTCGCATCGCGTAGTCTATGCGGCGCAAAACATCAGGTGCTGGAGCGGTGAAGCGGATGACGAGAAGGTTGAAGATGAGGAAGCACGCCGCGACGGCAACAAAGTCGGTGAAGTCTCTTGGTGTCGGCGTTTGCAGCAACCCGGCCGTCGGAAGCTTCGCCCGCAGGGCTAGGAGCCTCTCTGAGTTCTGGATCAGCGACGCGAGGCCGTCGGCAGGCGTCGCGTTCATCATCGAAGGTCGTGGGAAAGGACCTAAGGGCCGTGTCGGATCCTCTCGTGCTTGCGAACGACCCGTCACGCCCCGGGGGATACCCCCCCCCCCCCCACCCACCTCGCGCTGCGCTGCATGCGAGCTGGAGGCCGTGCTCTCGCCGTACGTGTACATATTGCAATATGCGTATAAGCAGAAGTCTGAGCCCTGGTCTGACAGCCTGACAGCAAACCCCGGACAGCGCCTGACAGTGCCCGACAGCCTGACAGCGCTGACAGCACTTTCTCCGACAGCCTGACAGCACGTATCTGACAGCCTGAACAGCAGAGTCTGACAGGCGAGGTGCTCCGTCGCTGTCAGGCCCTAACGTGACAGCCTGACAGCTGCCCGACAGCCCGACAGCACACAGTGGCCTGACAGCAGCGCTGACAGCCCGACCAGCCCGACAGCAGCACAGACCGTACACAGACCGTATACAGCCTCTTTCTTGTGCCCCATGAGAGTTTAACAAAACTACTGCATGTGCATGTGAGTGTGGTCCATGTGGTCATGGGATGGTCTCATGGGTCTCTCTGACTCTTCTACCCCCACGACTCGGAACGCGAATGTGACAGGACCATCGGGTCCTTCAGCCACCAAAGCGGGACCACCCGAGAGCAGCTGAGCCTGCCTCTGGCCTCGCCTCCCTCTCCTTCAGGCATTCGTGGCATCCTATGGGTCGTCCAGAGTATCGACCTCTGGCTTGTCAGCCGCGGTCACTTGATGACCCCCTTGAAGTACAGCGATCGCCAACTCGCTGGCCTCTTCGCAGGCCCCCCCGACCGCGTCGAACTCATCGGCGCGGGCTCTCTCGGCTACGGGACCGGCCCCAGCTTCGGCTGAGGGCTAACAAGCTGCCGAGCCCAAATCACTCTGAGAGTCGTGATTTCTTGTTGGTCTTTAAAAATCTCTCTCTGACTCTTAACCCTCCCGCCTCACCTCTGCGGACCCCTAGCACCGGCGGCTGTGCTACTACAAATGAAGCTACCAGCTAGCCTTCTGGGGCCCTACAGTATGTGCCTACGGCGTCTGGGTGGGGGTGGCCGCCGCCGCTTGTGCCGCCGCCGCGGCCTGCGCCTGCGCCGCCATCTGCGCTCCCCGGGAGAGACCTACTGTGTGGATCTACTCTCACTGGCTGCGGTCTCCTCTTGATAGTGTCATAAGTGTGGCTGGTGAGTGTCAGAGCCTGACAGCACCCCAACAGCACCACCTGACAGCACCTGACAGTACCGGCCCAACGTCTGACAGCAGCAGCAGCCTGACAGCTCTGACAGCTCCGACAGCGTCTGACAGCACCACCCGACAGCTCCGACAGCACCTGACAGCACCAGAGCACCTCGCCTGTCAGACAAGCACCGGACAGCACCCGACAGCACTGACAGCACCTGACAGCTGGTCTGACAGAGGCACCTGACAGTGCCTGACAGTGCCCGACAGCCCGACAGATCACCTGACAGCAATGGTTGGGTAGTAGGGCTAGAGGGTCGCTCTACACTTAGCCTCTGCAGCGAGCGAGCGCTCAGCTTAGCCCCCGCACGGAGCCAGGCTCGGACTTAGACGCTGTAGGGTCGGGGGCCATGAACTTAGACGACACAAGGCCAACTCCGGGTAAAACCCGGGTATACCTGCAAAAGTCCAGGTTTACCCGAAAAATACCTGGACGCGTCCCGACCAACGTATGCCGCACACGACGCCATATCGCCTTCTCCCAGGGCCAGTGCGCTACTTGCGGCGCGCAATTCCTGCTCAAGTACGCGCACCGTACCCTGCCGCTATGCGTGTCTTAAGGCGGCTGCGGCGAAGCGGCGGGCGCGGCATGCCGATGGCAGTGCGGACGATGCGGTTGCGATGTGTTCTGCTTCAAGATCGTGGCGGTGCTTGGCATGCACTTCTGCGATCCCAATCAGCTCATCGCAACGAAGCAGCGCAACAAGCTGGCTGCTGCCAACAAGGCCCTATGCTACCTCACGCGCGGATCGTTCAAAGAGGACCAGCATACACAGGCTTCTATGCTTTTGTTTGAGCTTGAGGCTGTTTGTGAGAAATGCGTTTGGCGAGAGATTGCGCTCAAGAAGCAGCAACGAGAATCGGAAGGGGAGGATGCTGAGCGGCGATTGCTGAGGCATGAGGAGGATCGATCCGGATTTTAGTAGGCGCCCGCCCTGAGACACAGCCAGGGCTCACGCAGAAGTGTGGCGAAAGCGCGTGGCGCGAAACCCGGTGTTAAGTTACGTCAGAAACTATGCAGACGCCTCACGCGGCGAACTCACGCGTGGCGACTGGCGTGACTCTCTTTCCAAAAGAATCTTAGGCAAAAGACCCCCCCCCGGGGGGGAACAGGCCGCCGTCGGCTGTGGGAGGGAGCGCTGCCAGCCGGCCGACGCCTGCAACTGCAAGCTGCGTTGGGGAGGGCTGCTCCTCCTGCTCGTCAGATGCCGAGCGTGTTCTCCCACTCGTCATTCTGGCCGAACTCTGCTATCTTGGCGTGGCGGAGTCCCAGCTGCTTGCTCGAGCGCAGCAGCTTGACGCGCAGCGCTCGCAGCGCCTCCGCCTCCCCGCGCGCCGCAGCGATGCGCACGCGCTTCTGCCAGCCTGCCAGCGCGGCCGCCGCGCCCTCGTTGCGGTGCCGTAGCGAGTCCACCTTGGCCTGCTGCCTGCGCAGCTTGGCGGCCATGCCCAGCGCCGCCTCGGCCTCCTCCCGCGGGCTCGGGTACTTGCTCCTGTCAAACACGAGCTGAACCAGTCCAGAGCCGCTGTCGCTGATCGTCGCGCTCGCTGCGTCCTCCGCAATCGCGCCCACCTCTACATTGTCGAGCACGAGCCTCGCCCACCGCTCCAGCACCTCAGCCTTCTCCGCTCGGCGCGTTGACGTAGACCGCCATGCAGTGCTCCGCCTGGCCGAGGCTCTTCTGCTTCCGCGCACGCGCCACGATCGCGTTGGTCAGCTCGACATCGAGGAGCACCGCGAGCGCCAGCTCGTGCGGCGCAAGCCGGCGCGGCCTGAAGACGATCCGTCTCGGGAGCCGAGTGGCCATGCGTCTCGGGAGCTTTGCAGCCATCTCCGGGAGCGTGCAGCGCAAGAGTGGTGGTGCTGCAGCGGCCAACGTCTGCAGCGGCACAGTCGTGGACGGCAGTGGCACCAGCGCGGCGGCCAGGGTCACTGCGAGCAGCATCTCGGGGACTTGGGGCGTTTCCTCCCGCCTTCTCTTGAGCGGCCGTCCAGCGGCCGTCCAAATGTCAAGGTTTTTCTTCTTTCCCGGCCCGTGACGGCTCGCGCTGCTCGTCAAAAGGGCGGCGGTGGCGATCGCGGCGACGGTCGTTCAGTCGTTCAGCGCTCAGGCGTCTGTTGTCGCATTTCGCACACGCGCGCGCCGCGCGACCCGCGTCGCTCCGCGAGGGCGTGAGCCTTCCGCGATTCGATCCCGCAGCCACATCGGGTCCTTCAGCCACCAAAGCGAGATCACCCGAGAGCAGCTGAGTCTGCCTCTGGCCTCGCCTCCCTCTCCTTCAGGCATTCGTGGCATCCTAGGGTCGTCCCCCGCAGAGTATCGACCTCTGGCGAGTCAGCCAGCCCCACTTTGAGGGCGCCATGAAGTACAGCGATCACCAACTCGCTGGCCTCTCCGCAAGGCCCCCCCGACCGCGTCGAACTCATCGGCGCGGGCTCTCTCGGCTACGGTGGACCGGCCCCAGCTTCGGCTGAGGGCTGACAAGCTGCCGAGCCCAACTCACTGTGAGAGTCGTGATTTCTTGTTGGTTTCCAAAAATCTCTGAGACATCCCGCACACTCCGGCCGGGACAGTTTGGGATGGCCCCCCCGCAACAGTCGAGATTACCTCGCACTATCCACGACCATGTGCGAGAACGCAAAAATAAAATAAAAACGGTCAAACTCTGAGACGAGATGGGATTTAGGGACATGTGTCCCCGCCCTGCACGATCTTGGTGTGAGGGATCTTCAATCCGTCCCCTCACCCCTGGTGCTGGTCACTACCCGACACTAGAAGAGCAGCACGAGTTGGGGCTGCGGCTACGGCTGCGGCTGCGGGATAATGGACACCTCCGCTACTGTGAGATGGGTAAAAAGGAACAGGTCCCCGCCCTTGCGATCTTTGTGCAGGGTTCTTTGTGGGTGTGGTCGGCGACTAGCCGGGGTCGTCCTCCCGATGGGGGACTAGCACTAGCCGTCTTCCACATGGTCCCTCGGGTCCCTGCTGCTCCTAATCTCTTCGTACATCCTCCTGCTGATCTCCGCAAAGTCCTGCTCCCTCCCTCGTCTCGCCCTGCGCGTCTGCTCCGCCTCCCCGTCGTCCGCCCTGCGTCGTCTGGTGACGGGTCCTCCATAGTCGGTTGAGGTCGCCGCCCTCCTCGTGCCTCTTCCCAACGTTTCCTCGGCAGCCGATGCCGTCTGCTCCGGCTCCCCAGTCCCCGGGTCTGCCCTGCTCTCGTCTGCGCTAGTTTCTGCTTCGTCCTCACCGGCGTCTCTCCTCTTCCTTCTCCCCTTCTTGTATGCTTTGCACATCGCGTCGATTCCTTTTCGCGTGAGCACCAGCCTGAAGCCCGCCCAGCAGCTGAACCGCTCCCTAAGTCGAAGGAGCATCATCAGTCTCACCCACTTCGCTCTCTGCCCACCGTCTCCGCTCCCTCCCGCTTGAGCCGCCGTCGCGGCCCTCGTTCGTCCCACTGGCTGTTGGCCCGTCCCTGCGTTGCCTGCGTTATCCCTCCTCTGCGACTCCCTCAAGGCCGGCCGAGCCTCTTTCCACCCAGTGAAGAGCTTCCTCAGCCACTCGATGTGTTCCTCTCTCTTCATTATGCGCGCCGTAGCCTCATCATTGAGCCGGATCCACCTCTGCACCGCGCCCGTCGCCGCCTCGGCCACGATTTGCAAGTTCCTCGTGACCCCGGCGCCAAGATCCCTCCGGCTCTTCTCCGAGAGATCATCTACCAGCGCCGGCAACACCCCCCCGACGGCTGGGGCTAGTGCATCGTACCCGTCCTCATCCAGCACCCTATATAGCGTGAGCCCTTCAGCGCAGCGACATGCGCTATCCTCAGCGTCTTCAGCGTATCCTTGGAGTCGGGTGCCGCCTGGGCTACTTTGCTGATCGCCGTCCCCGTCTGCGCTCGCGCTACTCTGAGGAACCATCTTGCCTGCTCCCTATTCCCCAGGCAGGCGCCGCTAAGCAAGTGCGCCATCGTCGCTCTAGGCGGGTTCTCATCTTCCTCGGTCCATTGCTGCGCGGCTTTCCGCACGATCGGACACAGCGGGTCTCGCTTTAGTGCCGCCCTCCTCGCCGCGTCCCTCGCGGCCTTACAGACGAGGCAGCCCCTGAGTTCGCTCCTTGTGGCGGCTGGCGGCGCCCGGGGTCTCTCTCCTCGCCTCTCCCCGCATAATCCTCTCGTGGCGCGCTCCGTGTGGCACCCCCGCCTGCTGCCGCACACGCGCTCCCACGACCGTCTTTGTCACCACGTTATGATCATCCACGTCGGCGAATTCAATCTCGCGCTCGCCGTGCTGATCCTTGATCCGCTGGCGCTTGTCCCATATTTGTCGTCGTTCCCCTGAGACCACATCGCTCCACAGCGGCCCCGTCACCCCAGCGGCGTGTGCGACAGCCGGGGCTCTCGCAGAGAGAAATTTAAAGAATTTTTGTTACATGCCTTGTAGCTTGTTCCCTTTTACGACATGTAGAAAAGAGAGAGCACAGTCCGCACACGTCGGTGACGTGAGGGCCCCGCTGCCTGATGAGGGATTCTCTGCAGCCACTCTCTGGGGCTGCAGACACAAGTGTGTGTCGCACACAATCGGATCAACGTATCACATCACACGTTGGTCGAAAACCGCCAGGCCTGAGTCCACAGCGGTGGGGGCATAGAGCCGCCCTAGGCTCCCCTCGTCACAAAATCAGCACGGTCCCGTCCCGTTCTCCACGAGTTGAGTACAGCCCGGTGCCACTCTGACAGGCGCGGGTGGACGAGCAGTTCCGCCTCGCTCATCCACACGCCTCTCCTCCCCGGCTCAAAGGCGAGCGCCACGTCGGTCGACGGCGCGGCGGCCTCGTAGAACCAGGCGATCAAAGCGCCGTCGACGTGGAGATCGACGGCGCGCCGCGGCGGCTCGGCCGGCTGCCAGCCTAGCTCCTCGCGCAACTCCCGCAGCAGGCCGTCGAGGCCGGTCTCGCCTGCAGCATTGGCGGTGCGACGCGTGGGGTTTGCGCGCTGCGCTGTGGCATCAATTGGGTGATGCGGCGCCTGGCTCCAGCTTGCCGCCGAAACAGGTCAGCTGACCCGCCGCGGTGCGGGCGTCGGCGGGCCGCTCCTCCACCAGCAGGTGGCCGGTAGGGGAGGATAGGATGGCGCAGACGTATGGCGGGAGCCTCATACTGCTACGACTTGAAAATGCCCTGGGAACCCCCACTGGGCCTGGGCGCTGGCGGCGAACGAGTAAAGCAGATGCGTCGCCACAGTCCTCGCCAGAGGGGCTGGCACCACGGTTGTGGTGTGTGGGGGCGGGGGTGTGAAAAAACCCGCGGGATACGGCGCGTTTAGCCGCGAACGGGGCCATGCTCTGGGGCTCGCGAACGGCGCGCACCGCGGTACAAGCCGGCGCGCGGCGGGCGCTGGGAGCCTATTCACAGAGCGTGAAGGGTATTTTTTCGCTTCGCTGCGCGGCCTGGTAGGTGGGGCACGGAGCCTGGCGATTGGAGTTAGTATGTATGTATGTAGTAAGAAAAAGAAACGCGCGAATATTCGGCGCTCGGCGCGTCCGAGTCCGAGCCCGACTCCGAGCGCGCCGCCGCCGCCGGCCGCTTGCGGCCGAGCCCCTCCTTCTTGCGCTGCGGCGGCTTGGTCTCGGGCAACGCGGAGCGGCCCTTCTGCAGGCGGCCCTTGCGGGGGACGGCGAGCGAGGGCGCGGGCTCTTCCTCGAAGAGGTCGGTGAGGTTGGCCATCGGCTCGGTCAGATCCACACACGGAGCGTCAGGAGTGGGGTCCGCGCCGCTCTCGAGGCGCCGCAGCTCGGCCTCTTCGTCGAGGTCGACGTCGGCGGTCGTGCGAGAGTAGCGAGGCGGCATGACCCAGAAGAGGGCCGCGACAGGCACTATAGCGGGTTGCGGCACCTTCAGAAAAATCGGGCGCAAAAAAATCGTGTAGTCTCGTATAGCTATAGGGTCGCGTCTCGTCTCGTATCGTCTCGTATCGTCTCGTATCGTCTCGGTTTCGTCCGACTGGGCGGAGGAGCTGGCGGCAGCCCGCCGCCCCGTGCTTGAGGCGGCCGCCGCGTTCTGGGGTGATCAGTACCCGGGGCTCCCACCACATCCTCAGCGGAGAACATTTTTCAGAAAAGGCTTCCTAGAAACTTGCCGCGTAGGCATGCTGTGTCCTGTCGGCAGGAGAGCAGCCGCGTCGCGGCGGCTGCTCGCCTTCACGAGGAGGCTCTCCAGTTCCAGCGAGCCACAGAGCGTGCGAAACATCGGCATCAGCGCGCACATCGACTCTGGCAAGACCACGCTCACTGAGCGAATCTTGTATTATACGGGACGTATCGGCGCCATCCACGAGGTCCGCGGGAAGGACGGCGTGGGCGCCAAGATGGACTTTATGGAGCTGGAGCGTGAGAAGGGCATCACCATCCAGTCGGCCGCAACGCACTGCGCCTGGGGCGACCACGATATCAACGTGATCGACACTCCTGGCCACGTCGACTTCACCATCGAGGCGGCGGCCCTCCGGCCGAGCGAACCTTGCGGGCGGCGCCAACTTCCGCCGGCCGTGTGCACACTAGGTGGAGCGTGCGCTGCGCGTCCTCGACGGCGCCATCCTCGTCCTCTGCGGCGTCGCCGGCGTGCAATCGCAATCCATCACCGTCGACCGGCAGATGAGGCACGCTCCGCCGCCTCGCCTCGCCTCGCCTCGCCTCCGCCGCGAGTAGCCGCGCCCGCCCCGCTGCGCTGCCGCCGGAGTGTCGCCGGCGCCCGGCCTCCTCAGGCGGTACTCTGTCCCGCGGCTCGCCTTCATCAACAAGCTCGACCGCGAGGGCTCCGACCCAGGTGGGGTGACACTTCCGGGACACTTCTCCCGCCGAGACAGTGGCTTGGACGCTGCGACGGCACTGGGATGGCACTGCCTGGACACTGCGCAGGCACCTCCCAGATACTCCTCGACGACCCCTCGCGCACCCGCCGCACAGACGCAGTGATTGGGTCATCTCGGGCCATCTCGGGCCATCTCGGGCCATCTCGGGCCATCTCGGGCCATCTCGGGCCATCTCGGGCCATCCTCCGCCGTGCAGACGCGGTGATCGGCCAGCTGCGCGATAAGCTGCGGCTCAACGCGGTGGCAATGCAGATCCCGATCGGCGTGAGCGGCGACCACGAGGGTGTGGTCGACCTGCTGGAGCGCAGGGCCCTCCGCTTCTCCGGGCCTGGCGGGGAGGAGGTGGAGGAGGGGGAGGTTCCTGCCGGGCTGCAGGCCGCCATGGAGGAGAAGCGCGCGGAGCTGCTCGAGAAGCTCGCAGACGCCGACGAGGAGATAGCAGAGTTCTACCTCGCCGAGGAGGAGCCGCCGCTCGGGGTGCTGCGTGCCGCGATCCGGCGCCAGACGATCGCGAATGCGATCACGCCCGTCTTCATGGGGAGCGCCTTCAAGAACAAGGGCGTGCAGCCGCTCCTGGACGGCGTGGTGAGCTACCTGCCGGCGCCGACCGAGGTGACCAACTGCGCGCTCGACTTGGACAAAGACGAGGAGCAGGTGGGGCTCACGGGTGTGTCGTCGGACCCGTTCGTCGGGACTCGCCTTCAAGCTGGAGGAGGGGACATGTCGAGGACACGTGCATGACACGTCCGAGACATGACCATAGGCTCGCCTTCAAGCTGGAGGAGGGGACATGTCGAGGACACGTGCATGACACGTCCGAGACATGACCATAGGCTCGCCTTCAAGCTGGAGGAGGGGACATGTCGAGGACACGTGCATGACACGTCCGAGACATGACCATAGGCTCGCCTTCAAGCTGGAGGAGGGGACATGTCGAGGACACGTGCATGACACGTCCGAGACATGACCATAGGCTCGCCTTCAAGCTCGAGGAGGGGACATGTCGAGGACACGTGCATGACACGTCCGAGACATGACCATAGGCTCGCCTTCAAGCTCGAGGAGGGGACATGTCGAGGACACGTGCATGACACGTCCGAGACATGACCATAGGCTCGCCTTCAAGCTCGAGGAGGGGAAGTTCGGCCAGCTGACGTACATGCGCATCTACCAGGGCAAGGTTGGCCGCGGCGACACGATCCAGTCGATGGCGGCGGACCGGCGCAAGGTTCGCCCCCCCGCCATCTCGGGCAATCTCAGGAAATCTCGGATAATCTCGGACAATCTCGGGTAATCTCGGGTCCGGCGCAAGGTTCGCATCCCGCGGCTCGTCCGCATGCACGCCAACGAGATGGAGGACGTCGAGTCGGTCGGCGCGGGCGACATCGTCGCCATGTTCGGCGTCGACTGCGCCTCGGGCACCACCTTCACCGACGGCAAGACGAAGCTGTCGATGACGTCGATGTTTGTCCCCGATCCGGTCAGCTCGCTCGCACTGGTGCCGTCCAGGACACGTCCAGGACACGTTCATGACATGTCCGTCAGGTCATCTCGCTCGCGCTGGTGCCTGCCGACAAGAACGCGCCAAACTTCTCAAAGGCGCTCGGCCGCTTCACCAAGGAGCGCCGCCCGCCGCCCCTCGCGGCAGCGGGGCGAGCTCCTCCGAACCCCGTCTGAACCCCGTCTGAACCCCGTCCGAACCCCGTCTGAACCCCGTCTGAACCCCGTCTGAACCCCGTCTCAGCCTCGTCTCAGCCTCGTCTCACACCTCCTCCAAACCATGCCGCCCAGGAGGACCCGACCTTCCGCGTGCACACCGACGACGAGTCGGGCCAGACCATCATCTCGGGCATGGGCGAGCTCCACCTCGAGATCTACGTGGAGCGGCTCAAGCGCGAGTACGGGGTGGAGTGCTCGACGGGCAACCCGAAGGTTGCCTTCCGCGAGACGGCGTCGACGCGCTCCAAGTTTGCCTACACGCACAAGAAGCAGAGCGGCGGCTCGGGCCAGTTTGGGCGGGTGCAGATGGACCCCGAGGCGGTGTCGAGATACCCGGGGCTACCCGAGATGACCCGAGATTGACCGAGAGCAGGTGGAGGGCTACGTGGAGCCGATCTCCTCCGACGCGCTCGGCCAGGGCGCGTACGAGTTCGATAACCAGCTCGTGGGCAACATGATCCCGCCCGAGTTCGTCACCGCGATCGACAAGGCGCCGCTGTCAGCTGCCGTTCCCTCGTCTACACGCCACCGCACCACACCGCCACCTTCACCCTCCATCCGAATCGCGAGGAAGCAGCGCACCGTCTCTTCACGGCTGCAGCTGCGAACAGGGCTTCCGCGAGGCGATGCTCAAGGGGACTCTCACGGGCTCGCCGGTGACACGGCCTGCGAGGAGTCCTGCGCGCATGGCCCCGACACGTCCCCGACACGTCGCTGGCGCCTCCCGCAGGTGATGGGGATGCGGGTGGTGCTGCAGGACGGGCTTGCACACGCAGTCGACTCGAACGAGCTGGCCTTCCGCGCCGCCGCGCAGGTGTGGAGACGCGAGGGTTGCCCGGCCCTGGCCCTAGCAGCGTGTGAGTGGAGAAGTGTGCCGCACTTTCCCGTCCCGTCCCGTCCCTTCCTTTCCCTCCGCGCAGGGCGCCTTCAAGCAGGCGATGGCGACGGCGAAGCCGGTGCTGCTGGAGCCGCTCATGTCGACGGAGGTGGCGGTGCCGGCCGAGTTCCAGGGCACCGCGGTGGCGCTCGTCTCGCAGCGCAAGGGCACGGTCAACAGCATGGAGGGCGCCGAGTTCGTCACAATCGACGCGGATGTGCCGCTCGAGAGCATGTTTGGCTTCTCGTCCGACCTGCGAGGCGTGACGCAGGGCAAGGGGGAGTACACTATGGAGTACAAGGCGCACGTGCCCGCGCCGCGCGACAAGACCGAGCTGATGGTCAAGAAGTGGAAAGAGCAGCAGGCGGGCAAGTCCGAGGAGTGACCGTCTCGCGCGGCCGTCCCCATGTAGCTCTGAGGACTAAGCCTAGGTCCATAGCCCGGCTCTGTTGCCCATGCTCTCTCTCTTTAACCTGACACCTCCCTCCAGCGACTCCACAGCTCTCTCACTGCTGCTCTCTCCGCGCCCACTCCCCTCTCCCGCTCTCCGTGAGAGTAGTACGCAAGATGTACACGCGCTGCAGTCCCGAGTCCGAAACTCTCGCCGATGTGTCTCGTTCCGGTTCGCTGCGATATTGGTGGGCCCCGTCTTGACACACACGCCGATCACCTTTTGTTATATATTAATATTATGTTTGGACGAGAGTACGAGACCCACTCTACTCTCAATACTCAAAAGTGATATCTCCACACTCCAAGGCTCACGGGGCGTGCTGCTCCGACTCGAGCGCTGCGAGCCCCTTTCGCACCACGTCGCGAAACACGGCAGCGAGGCTCTCCTCGGCCGCGTCGTATGCGCTCCGAAGCGGCGGGCGTTGCCCCCCCAGCGTGTGCCGCTGCCGCATGCGAGCGTGAAGCGCGCTCTGCAGCCTGGCGGCCAACCTCGCCGCCTCGCCCTGCTCCTCGCTTCCGGCGGGACCGCCGCACACCTTCTCCGCCACCAGCCTCCTCGCCAAGCCGAGGGTGTGCGTGGCGAAGTCGGCGTGGACGGCCGGCTGGGCTGCCGACGGCTCGGAGCTGTCGTTGCGCGGCGATGACCCGCCGACGCCGCTGCCGCTGCCCGCGCTGACGCCGCTGCCGCTGCCCGCGCCGACGCCGCTGCCTGCGCCGCCCGTGCTGCTGCTTGCACCGCCCGTGCTGCTGCTTGCACCGCCCCGCCCAACCGCCGCTTGCTCGGGCGGCGCCTCGGTCCGGCGCGGCTGCTGCAGGCTGATTTGCTCGGGCGGCATCCCTCCGGCGCGTGCGCACGGCAGCGCCGGCAGCAGCAGGGCGAGGATGGAGCCTGTGGACAAGTCTCGGGCATGTCATGGACGTGTCCTGGACAGCGCCGGCAGCAGCAGGGCGAGGATGGAGCCGTGCTCAGCCTTTGGCTTGAGGGTGTGCGCCTTGAGTCGCGCCTGCGGTCGAAGGTGCCGCGAAGGTGCCGGGAAACTGCCGGGAAAGTGCCGAGAAGCTGCGCTCGCTCGCTGTTTGGCGAGACGAGGAGGGGGAGGGGGAGGAGAGGAGAGGAGAGGGAGGAGAGGAGAGGAGAGGGAGGGAGGTGCGAGCAGGACGACGAGGAGCCGCGCCTCCACCGCCTTTGCCTGGGCCTCGTTCTCGTACGCCACATGCGCACCGCCCACACGCGGCACGTCTTGCGGCGGGGGCAGCGTCGCCCACCCGCCCGCTGCCGCGGCGCCAGCCCCGCCGCCGCCGTCCGCGCCGTCCACGCCGCCCGCCTGCCCGCTCCGCCGCGCCTCCTCCTCCACCGCGTCGCGCAGCAGCCCCGCCAGCCTCTCGCGCGAGACAACCGCGCCGCGCCGACTCGCCGCTGGCCTCGCCTCCCCCCCGCCTCCTCGACCCCCTCCTCGACCCACCTCTCCCCCTCCTCCACCCACCCCTCCGCCCTCCCCGCCTCTCCGCGCCGCCGCCTGGCCCCTCGTCCGGCCGCCGCCGAAGGGGCGTGTCTCGGACGTGTCCTGGACGTGTCCTGGGCATGCCTCGCCCCTCGTCCCGCCGCAGCCCTGCACGAGGCTCTGGCCGCGGACCAGGCTCTGACCCCGCTGCAGGCACGGCCCCGCGCCCGTGCGCCCGCCCGGCGCGGGCGCGGCGGCGGCGGCGGCGGCGGCGGCTTGCGGCTGCGAGGCGCCCGCCGCCGCCTGCCGCTCCTGCGGCCGCTCCTTGCTGCCGGCGCGGCGCAGCCGGGAGCGAGGGCTTGCCCCTCGCCCGTCGCTGCTCCCTCCGCCGTGCTGCAAGCCGCCCTCGCTACCGGCAGCGAGGGCGAGCCCTGATGCCTGCCCTGGCGCCTGCCCTGGTGCGCCGGACGAGCTGCTCGTTGAAGCGGCGGCGGCGGCAACCGAACCAGCCCGCGGCGCGACCGGGCTCTGCGCGGCCGCGCCTCCTCCGCCTCTGCGCGACCCTCTCCCTGGCCCTCGCCCTGGCGCCTCTGCGCGACCCTCGCCCAGGGCGGAGCCGTCCAGAGGCGCGCCCGAGATCAGCAGGGCGGCCTGCGGCGAGGAGGAGAGGGGGGAGCGGGAGCCGCGTCAGAGACCGTGCGACGCGGGCGGCGGCCGGGTGCGTGACACTGCGCCGGCGCCTCCTCTTCGGGTGCGTCTGCAGCGACTGCCACCCTCTCCGCGCGCAGCACGTCGGCCCACACGTCGAGCGCGGCCGAGTCCGCGGCGCGGCCGTCGTCGAGCCACTCGACTACCAGCGTGCGGCAGTCCTTGATGCCCAGGCCCTCGGAGAAGCTGACCGCCGCGTGCACGCCCAACCCGAGCGCCTCGTCGGTCGGCGCGTCGCCCTCGAAGGCCCACCTCACCACGAGCGAGGAGCCGGCGGGGACGAGCTGGAGGAGGCGCGCGATCCTCGCGATCATACCCCGCGCATCCACCCCCGCCGACGACGCAGCCTCGGCCGGCCACTCGCTCGCCGGCTGCCACGCTGCAGCGCTGGCCTCGCCGCACGCAAAGGCGACGCGCCAGTCGTCTGCCGAGCGCGCGCCGGCCAATCCGCGGACAGCCTCGCTCACCGCGGGCGCGCGGCGTGGGCCGGCGATGAAGAGGGTGTGCTGCGGCATTGAGCAAACTGGAGCTCGGCTCAGGGTTGCGCAGCTAGGGACGGGAGCGAGTTCGCACTAGAGCTCTACAGTCGAGCGGCACCTGCGCGCTCTAAAATGAAGAATTCAACGGTTGAGGCTTCGGACATGATGCACGAAAGAATTTCGCGACTTCAGAGCACTGGGCACGGACGGGAGTAGGAGCCACCGCCATCGCACCCAAGCTCTGCTACTTCTCCGCTCCTTCGTCGCTCGTATACCCCCGCGCGCGCCCGTGCACGCTCTCGTCCGCAATCCAGCGGTGTCGGCACGCCTCGAAGACGGAGGCGCGCTCGGCCGCCCCGCGGGACAGGGCGCCGAGCACCTCCCGCGCCTCGGGGCTCACCTCGCTCAGCTCGCGCACCACGCGCCTCGCCGGCGGCCGCCTGCCGACCAGGGCGGCCGCACAGCCACAGCCCGCCATGCCCTGCGCCTCGAGCGCCTCCATGATGGTCTGGTTGGGCGGCGCGCCTACCAGCGGGGGCGCGGCGCAGCTCCGGCTCCCTTGATCTCCGGTCCGCCTCGCCTCCCCACCGCGCCTGTGAGCATGTAGCGCAGCAGCCGCGAGAGGGAGAAGGTGTCGAGCTGGAGCGCCTACAGCCCGCACGGTGCGGGTCCCGCCTCGCGCCAGGGCAGCTGGGCCAGGCGGGGAGGGAGACGGCCCACCTCATCGAGATATGAGGGAGATATGGGGGAGATATGATCTCGGCCTGTGCCTCCTCGCGTGTAGGACGAGATATGAGGGAGATATGGGGGAGATATGATCTCGGCCTGTGCCTCCTCGCGTGTAGGACGAGATATGAGGGAGATATGGGGGAGATATGATCTCGGGGAGGGAGACGGCCCACCTCGTCGAGGCTCATGACGAGCCGCCCGTCCGCGCCGACGCCGCCGCCCAGGCCCGCCGCCTGCAGCCGCGGCTCCGCCCAGTGGCGCGTCCCGAGCGGCGTCATCCTCACCTCGCCGACGGTGCGGCGCCCCGTCGGGCTGCTCGGCACGCTCCTCGGCAAGTAGGTTGTGCGCCGCCACGCGGCCGAGTGCGTGCTGCCTAATCTCGGGCAATCTCGGGTAATCTCGGGTAATCTCGGGGAATCTCCCCGCCACGCGGCCGAGTGCGTGCTGCCGTCAAACACGAGCGAGCCGTCCATCTCGAGCTCCACCGTCGTCTCGCCGCCGTGCGTGGATCCGCACTCGGATCCGCCGTGCTTCGAGCCGCCATAGTTGGAGCCGCCGTGCTTCGAGCCGCCGTAGTTGGAGCCGCCGTGCTTTGACCCGGAATCGATTCCGTGCACGGAGCGGTCGCCGCGCCGCTTGCCCCACCTCCTCGCCCTGGGGGAGGCCACCGCGACATCGATCACGCGAGCGAAGCCAAAGTCGAGCAGTTTTGTGATGCAGCGCGAGAGCGACGAGCTGCGGTCGTCGGGCAGTGCAGCTTTGAGCGCTACGTTGGCCGGCTTGACGTCGCGATGGACGATGCGCCGCTCGCGGAGGTGGCAGAGTGCGGCGCAGACCTGCGAAAAGATCCGCTTCGCCTCATCCTCAAGGAGCGCACCACGCAGGTCGAGCAGCCGCTGCAGGTCCGGACCCGCGCAAAACTCGAGGAGCAGGCAAAGGTTGGGCCCGTCCTCGCAGACAGAGAGAAGCCGCAGGATGTGAGGGTGCGAGCACCGCCGAAGCATCTCCACCTCACACATGACGTCCCGTGCAGATGAAGGCTTGCCTTGCGGTATCACCTTGACGGCGCACCGCTGCACCGCGCCGCAACTCGCTGCCGCGTCCGGCCGCCGCGAGGCGAGCCGGACCTCGCCGCAAGCGCCTCGTCCGAGGAGCGGTCCAATCTCATAGTCCTCCAGCCTCGGCGATGGAGGAACTGAAGCTTGAGAAGCGGCCATCTTGGAGCAATTAGAGTGCACTTATCAAATCGCCATCCGCATCTCTCGTCATCGTGCCGTCCTCCGACCTCTGCGACCTCCCATCCCTCCCTCTCTTGGCGCTTCTAGAGCTGCGTTCTGGGGGCTTGCCCGCGGTGCCCCTTGCCGCTTGGGTTGTCTCTTGTGTCTGTTTTCCGCCTCTTTCACAGCGCCTTTCTTTCTTTTTATGTTTTCGTGAACGTAGTTGTGCCCCCCCGCTACGTCGCACGAGTGCAACCGGGTACACAGCAAAACTACGAGCATGCCGTGGACGGGCCCGTAACGAGCCCCGTTACCAAGCTCGTAGTGTACGGGCCCGTAACGAGCCCCCGTTACCATGCTCGTAGTTTTGCTGTGTAGCGGGGGGGCCAAAAGCAATCAAGCTATACCGCCCCCCGCCCCTCTCCTGCTGCTGTAGTGGATTCGAGCTGCCGCTTGTCCCTCGCCGACCGCGCGCGCGTCGAATTCGACTTTGCCATCGCCTCGGGCGAGTGCAGCAGCTCCGCCGCGTCGCGCGACGCACGCACTTTGCGGCGCGCCCGCTCGAGCATGTCTGCCTCGAACATGGAAAGCGCCGCGCGTCGCTTGAGAGACATGCGCGTCGCTTGAGAGAGAGAGCGCGTGACCTGAGTGGGAACGACTGAGATGAGACCCCAGTGGAGTTAGGAGTCCACCGACGACCGAGCACCGCGCTGCGAGCCTGTCGCTGTCCGTCTTGCCAGGAGCAGGTACCAGGTAGGTGCAGGAGTGAGGAGAGCCCCCTGAGCCCACAGCCCTGAGCCTGACCCGCTATGGCTACTGTATGTGCCTGTGAGCGCCTGTCCCTTGAGCCTTGTGCCCCTGCTGATCGTCCTTCCAAAAAAAGCAAAATCCTACTCGTGCAGGTGGGGGGACCCTGTCCTCCTCCCATCCCGGTGCATCCCTCGTTTGGGGATTGGGGTTTCTGTTTTCTTTTTGGGTCGCTTTTTATTTCGGTCGCGACTAATATATTTCCCCCGCTCAGAGGTTGCGCCTGCGACGCGCAGACGCCAGACAGCGGACACCCCCACCTCCGCACTGACACGTGACAGTCCAGTCCCGGTGCGGGTGCGCCACGCCCTTGACCCCGGCTTCCCGCGACAGGCAAGCCCCGAGCAACTACTCAGTCCACAAGTGTACACACGAGCCTCCGCGCCTCCCTCCCCCTCATGGCATGTGCACGCCCCGCGCTCTCCTGTCACTCCGGCCAGAGGCCAGCGCGCCTCGCACACCCACGTGCCGCCTCTACTCGAGCCCTCGAGGAGGCGGCTTGTGGGTGCGCGCGCTTGCCCTCGCGCCGCCATTCTCGCCGGGGTCGTCGGGCGCGGGGGAACGGAGGGTAGGGGGAAGTGGGGGGAGGCTCTCGAGCCGCCGGGCGCGGCTCAAGCCTGCTCCTTCGTCGCCGGCGTGGCCTTCTTGCACGTCAGCACGTTGGAGATCGAGCCCCACGACTCGTAGATGGGAAGCACGACAATGAAGCCCGAGGCGATGTAGCCCCAGCAGAAGGCGACCGAGGCCCAGAGCGTGTAGTTGGCCTTGTCGAAGACGCCCCACGCGATGACGGCGAGCGGCCAGACGAAGATGAGGAAGACCGAGTAGCCGACGCCATACTTGAAGACGTACTTTGCGGCCGGGTCGAGGTACTCGGAGGTCATCTCGTACTCGGGGACGTCGTCCGCCTCCTGCGGAGGGGAAGGCGCGGCGGGAGGAGGGGTGTCGTGTGAGGGGGGGCCCTACTGAGGGGCCTCTGCCACGTTCTGCCCGGGGCGGGGTGGGGATGAATGGGCGCCGCGCGGGAGGCGAAGTTTTGGGGAGGCGGGAAGGGGGGGGGGGGGGGGGGAGGTGCGGTTTCGCCTGCTCGACGCGCTTGATGCCCTCGCGCATTTTCTCCCACTCGAAGGGCTGCTCCGTGCCCATCTTGTACTCGATGCTCGCGACGAGGAAGGCGATGATGCCCGAGACGCAGAGCGCGACGACGGAGCCGGCGGTCTGCGCGTTGATGTTGCCGAGGGTGTCGACGTTGAGCTTGCCTGCGGACGACGCACAGAGGGGAGTGAGCTCGACAAGCTGGCGGCGTGGCGGCGTGGCGGCCGCGTGGCGGTGGGGAGTGGTCGCGTCGCACCCGTATCGCAGTCCACTCCCTCTGCGAGGTCGTCGGGGTCGTCGCCGTTGGTGCAGCGCGAGGCGGCGACCGACATCCACGAGACGAGGGCGAGGATCATGCCGCCCCACGCGCCCGCGATGGCGCCGTTCTTGGTCATGTAGCGCGTGCAGAGGCAGCACGAGACGGGGATGACGGCGGAGCCGATCATGGTGCCTGAGCGCGTGTCCGTGCGGCACAGCCCGGGTGAGCGACGGGTGAGCGGGCGAGAGGGCGCGGGATGCAGGGTGGGCTGTCTGACTGGATAGCGGTGGGGGCGGCGGGGTTGCCCATAAAGTTGTAGACCCAGCCGAGGCCGACGCCCACGCCGTAGAGGAAGTAGCCGAAGAGGCCGCAGACGATGCCGTAGCCGACGACGACAAGGCGCGACACCTTGAGCAGCTGGGCGCCGGTGCACTCGGGGTTGATGTACTTGCGGTAGATGTCGTACGCGAAGAGGGAGGCGACGGCGATGCACTCGGCGGAGCCGGTCGAGGTGATGGCCTGCGCGGCGAGGGGGGGCGGTGTGGGGAAGGGCGAAGGGGGAAGGGGGGACGTGGATGGGTCGAAGCGCGCGCCATGAAGAGCATGATGATGATCATGATGCCGCCGCCCTGGCCGAGCAGGACGATGGCGGCGGCGGGCGGCGCGAGGCCGTCGGCGGCCTCGTCGGCGGGCATCTTGACGTTGAGCGCGAGCGACGAGAGGCCGAGCGCGGTGGCGAGCGACATGGGGATGGTGAACCAGACGAGGCCTCCGAGCAGGTAGCCACGGTGCGCAGACGAGGGGCGCGCGGCGATGGCGGACTGCCAGTAGGACTGGTCGACGAAGACGGTGCCGAAGTTGCCGACGATGTTGACGACGCCGAAGCTGAGGCCGTCCTCGGAGAGCATGGTGAGGTACGAGCCGCCGCGGTTGCCGTTGACGGGGCCGTGGTGGTAGTCCTTCTCGGTGTACGTGAGTTTCTCAAAGTTGCCCGGTCCCGGATCGTCCGCGGTCGGCACGTAGGCGCCATCTGGGAACGTCATCCCCGCGGTCTTGGCAGGGAGGTAGTTGAGGAAGCGGAGCCGCTCCCACAGCAGCGCCGCCGAGCCGAGCGCGTTGCACTGCTTCTCCGTTGCGGACGTGCACTCGATGTCGCCCGGCACGGCGTAGACGTACCTGCGGGTGGGGATGGCGAGGGGGTTGGGCGTGGGCGGCGCCGGGGCGGGGCGGGGCGGCTGGGGGAGGGGGGAATTTGGGCGGGGAGTGGTGGTGGTGGTGTGTGGTGGTGGTGTGTGGGTGGGGGGGGGGGGGGTGGCCCCCCCTATAAAAACGAAGAGGCTTATCCTGTTGCCCGAGGTTTGGATTCACGAGGCGAGAAAAGTGGCCTTTAAGCCCCCTAACCATGTGTAGAGGATCACCCCCACGGGAATGAGGCAATTGGCCGCCACCATATGTATGGCCAAGGCGGGGTTTACCACGGCGGGGCCCCCCTGGATCACCCTGCCCGTTACCATTAGGGTGGGGCAGAC